TAAAACAAAGTAATTTGTTATTATTTTTTTAAAATTTTTTGTAAAAAAAGTAATACAATTTTATATTATAATTAAAAAAGAAAAGAAAACATAGTGTAATATGTGCTTATTGTATTAGAAAAAAAATCCAAATTTTGTTTCTTGAAGAAGGTCAAATTTTTGTCTTTGGCTTTGGCTGATTAATATTCAAACTCACAACTTGCTTTGTTTATATAAAGATTTTTTTTTAAAAGAAGTTTTTGAAACTTTGAAAGTTTGAAAAAAATAAAAATGGTAAAAAGTTAGTATTTGATTTGATATTTTGTGAAAGAAAAGTGTATTTGGAGGATGTTTGAAAAATAACTTTTTGAAGAGCTTTTAGCTTATTGAACAGTTTTTAGCTGTTTGACTAGTCAAAAAGTTAATTTAGATGTTTGGTAAATTATTTTTTTGAAAGAACTTCTTAGACCCAAAAAACTAATTTCCGAAAAGCTCATCTACTCAGCGTTTTGAAAGAGTTTTTTCATTTTAATTTTGATTATTCCTTATTACCCTTAAAACTTAATTATTTATTTTATACATATAAATATATTTTTATAACAGTATTTATTAATTATTTTTAATATATTTAATTTATTAAATTATATTTTTATTTCTGTAAATTTAAAATAATTACTATTATTAATTATTACATATAAATTATTTATTTTATTTGTAAAATATATAAATTTTTAAAACTAAATCAAATGGAAAAACAAAAGTTATTTATTTATATATATTAAAACAATAATTAACATACTAAAAATATATATACGAAAGATTTATTATTTTATATTTTACATAATTTTAATAAAAAATTATTATTTTTTAGTAAAAAATAATTTTCTCAAATCTAAATAATAAAAATAAAAATAAATATTTTATAATATTTTTATAATTTTCAATAATTAATAATAAAAATTCTCATAAATTTCAAACCAAAATGAATAAAATTAATATTTGAAAAAATAACATATTAATATCCTTAATAGTCATATATAAACAGCTAATGTCAAACAGTTGTTTTTACCAAACACTTTAATACATACCGCTAATTGAATTAGCTAGTCAAACTAGCTAATTGAATCAGCTAATAGCTAACTATCAACTGATTGTCAAACGCACCTTTTATCTAGATATTTTTAATTTTTTAAAATATTATTTATTAGTAGTAATTTTAAATACTTTGGAATTTAAATATATTTATTGTTTTATATTAAAAAGTAATTAAAGCCCAGTTAGATTGTAGAGGTTTGAACTTGGAGATTCCAAATGATTTCGTCGAATTCAATCGATTTGGAATATTCAAGTTAGCCGTGGATTTAAATCAACCGTCTTTTTAGTACTTATTATTTTTATTTTATTTTTAATTTGGTACCTTATTTTCTTTTTCTTTTTTTTTTAATAATTGTATTATTTATCTTAACATTAAAAATATTTTTACACAAATATATTTTATTTTTATATCATACAATACTAATAAGATTATTTTTGTCATTTTAACTTTATTCATACTATATGCCAATATAATACCAATAAATATAAAACGTCGTGCAAAAAGTATTTAGATACTTCTTTAAGTGACGAAGATAATACTATTTTATACAAATACATTCAAGGTAATTTTTCATCCGACTAAATGTTTCTAAAATGATATCCGTTCCAAATAAATTGTTCATATGTTTCATTTCGATTCGTCACACATAATTTGCTTATTTTTTTAAAAAATAATGATACACTTTAATTTTATTTTTTATAATTATAATTAAATCAATTAGTTATTTTAATTTATAATTATTTTTACTAATATATTTTTTTAATTATTTATTAATTATAATATTTCTAAATTTTCGAGAAAAATCGAATAACTAAATTGGGACAGAGAAAGTATGATTTAGTATTAAATATAAATCAAAACATTAAAGTCGATGTATTTGAAATCTAATTTTGAGATAAAATAAATTTGAGAGGCCATTTGAAATCACTTTAGTCCCGTTTAATTGGATGAATTTGAATTTAATGGTAGATTTTGAATAAATCAATTTGAATTATTTCAAATTTATAAAATTACTTCAAAACTAAAATTTATTACTTTGTGACATAATACAATGTTTTGTATATTCCCTCCGTCCCATATAATTTGTCTATATTTTTTTATTTTTGTCCATTCCACATAACTCGTCTTTTTCTTTTTTGGAAATATAATTATACATTTTAATCGCATTTTAAATTTTATAATTTTTTTAAAATTTAATTAAACTATTTAGTTATTTTAATCTTAATCTATAATTATTTTTAAAATACAATAATTATTTTTACTAATACACTTTTTAATTGCTTACTAATCATACTTTACCTAAATATCCGTGTCTTCAGTAACACGCTCATACTATATGGGACGGAGGGAGTATTAATCAAACAAACACCTTAGTGGATTTGAAATCTACCACTAACTTTTGAAATTTGGAAATTAACTCCATTTGTCAAATCAAAGTAATGTATTAATTAAATTATTTGAGATATTTTAGTTCACATATCATTCGCTTTCAAAATGAATCTAATAAAGTTTTTATTTTAATTTTGAATAGTTAAATTTTTAATTTAAATAATTATTGATATAATATTTTAAATGTAAAATTAAATTTGTGTATAAAATAAATATATTATGGATGCTTGATTTCATTTTTTTTAAAAGAAAAAAAATTGAAATAATAAAATAAAAAATAAAATTCCACAAGTAAATAAAATCTAGTTATTAAAAATAAATAGAGAGTTGAGAGAAAAAAAATAATAAAAATTGGAGACTAACAAAGATTTAAAGAGAATTAACCAAATATATATATATATATATATACATAGTATTTTTTATATGAAACATCAAATTAAATACTCAAACTTTTACTATCTTTGTTAAATTTTTAAAAATTTCAAAATTTTCTAAACTCTTATCTAAACAAAAATTTGTTCACAAAAAATAAATAAATAAATAAAAAATAATAATAAAGAATAAAAAATAATATAAGCACACACTCACATAATATATATGTTCCATCCATCCACTAAATCTATATATATTTTTCTTATTCACAAAAAATATATTTTCTATTTATAACACGGTAAACTGTTTTTTTAGACCCGTAATTGGACCCCTTTATCATTTTAGTCCTGTAAGTGGAGCTGTCGCAAACTAGTCCCATAAGTGAAAAAATTTCGCTGTTTTAGTCCTCCGGCGCCGGAGACGCCTGCGTGGCTCATTGGAGGTGAAGTGTGCGCCAGGTATCCTGCCAGGTCAGCGACACTTGGCGGACACGTGGATTTTTATTTTCTTTTCACTTTTTTTAATTTCTTGGCGGACATGTGGATTTTTTTTCATTTATTTATTTTTTTAATTTTTTTAATTGTATCAAATAAAAAAATATAAAAATACAAATAAAATTTAAAATAAATTAAAAATAAGTTTTTAAAAAAAATTAAAAAAATGAAAAAATAAAATAAAAAAATCTACGTGTCCGCCAGGTAGGCCAGGTCTCGCTGACCTGGCGGACACGTCACCTCCGGTGAGCCACGCGGGCATCTCCAGCGCCGAAGGACTAAAACAGCAAAATTTTTTCAATTATGAGACTAGTTTGCGACAGGCTCCACTTACGGGACTAAAATGATAAGAGGGTTCAGTTACAGGACTAACAAAAACAGTTTATCCTATAACAAATTATAAACTCTTACATCTCACTTTATTAATTCATTAATGTATTTTTCAAAATATTCATACTTAATATCACAATAAATTAATATAAAATTATTATATTAATTAAAATTTATATTCAACTCAAATAGATATATATTTGGTGAACAGATAGAATAATATATACCTCTATGTGTTCACAAAAAAAATTAATAATTTCATATAAAATATCATTATCATATTACCGACACAGTCTTTTATACCTAATATAAAAAAGACCTCAAATTAAAATACATTAAAAAAAAATATGTATTATTTATTATATTTACAACTATATTTACTATAAACAAATTGTAACAATATAATACCTCCGTCCGGCTTTAAAAGTTTCATTTACTTTTTGCATGTTATATTTAAATATTAATTATTATATAAAAACATAATACAAATTAAAAGAAAATGACAAAAATATTTCTATTAGTGTCTAATAATATTATTATAATGATATTTGTGAAAAAAAAATTATACCAATATAAAAATATTTTTAATATTAAGTACAACCTAGTAAAAAATATTTTATTTCCTTTGTCTTGTTACATGTATGCTCATTTTATCATTTTTATTTGTCTATAATAAAAATTATATTTTTATTATTTTCTCATCTATACACAAAAATATGCTCATTTTATGATTTTGATTTGTCTATAAAAAAAATACTCTATTCGTTCTAATACAATTGTCCTATTTAACATTTTTGTCCGTCCCGAAATAATAGCCGTATTTTCATAAATAATCATATCACTATAAAATTACCGTTACTTTATCATTATTATTACACAATTGTCACTACTTTTTACACTAATGCCCCTGTACTTTTTATCTACTACCAATATAATATCAATATTTCTTAAATTTCATGTCAAACACAACCCATCCAATATATTTCTTACACATGTTTAAAAATTATATTACTATTAATCTTAGAGAAATTCTAATACTATCCCTATAAAATATAAAAATAATATTAAAAAAATACATTTCGAATCTATGTGTCCATAAATTTTGTGATCATACATGTATTAATTCAAAATTTATTCAATTTGCATTTCAAAAGTGCTTAACCCTAAACCCTTTATTAAAAAATAAATAATAATAATAATAATAAATAATAATCCTACTAGACCGCTCACACGCTTTATTCAATCGCTAATGCGATTTAGCAACCTACGGAATTCTACAGTTCTGTGCAAATTAAAAACCCGCTTTATCCGTTAATTCTCAGGTTCATAAAAAAAAAAAAACACGCTTTCTCAAGAATCAGGAAGAAGTCGCATTTCTACTTTTCTTCCATCACCGTCATTCTTTCAACGAACTTCCCGACCTGAGCAGTCCCGCCGGCGGCCGTGGATCGTCGGGGAAACGGTAGACGAAATTATGCAACCACTGTTCAGATTGACGCGCCGCTGCATCCGCCTCCCTCTCTTCCGGCGCGCCTCCTCTTCTAGAAATCCCGAAACTCTTCCCGAACCCCTAATCCACGTCAAAAATTCCTCCCAGAATGTTCCTTCCTCACCTTCTCTGCATCGGAACAACTATCCTGCGCTTATTCGATCACCATTACTTTCCAAGACCTCCTTAATCGCTGCCGTCTCCGCTGCCAGCCTCCTCGCTGCCTACGCCGTGTCCAAGGTCGACTATGATTGGGAACACTCCGCAAAGTCGAAGGCAATCTATTCGGAAGTTGAGGCGGCGGTCGAGAAGTCTAATGAATCGATTAACAAGATTGCGAATAAGATGAAGCATACCGGCGTAGCAGCCTCCGTTCTATGGCAGTCGTTGAGATCGGTGTTGTCTTCCGCGAACCACGAGGTTAGGGTAGGTTTCGAGCTGCGAGTGGCGGCGTTCTTGGCTGACATTGTAGCGGCTAGCGATAGCCGAAGAGCTGCCATTGTTGGTGCAGGTGGAGGTGCAGTGGTGGACTGGTTGTTGGAAACTGTGGCAAGGCCTAAGGATGTCAATGGAACCCAGGCTGAGTCTGCAAGAGCCTTGGCGTACTTAATTGCGGATCCGAATGTGTGTGAGGCTGTTTTAGGACGGCCACAAGCTGTTCCGAATTTCTTAAGGTTTATTTTCTCTGCTCAACCTCGGCGATCAAAGAAAGTGAGTATTTCTTGAGTTCCTTATGATTGATCAAGTGAATGATGGTGATGCTAATGATTGCAATATACAATTTACATTAAGCTGATTATTTTAGATAATCTTGGCTATTATTTTGCTTTGTTTTAATGTGCTTAACTAGTTGTTGATCAAGAATGTGAAAGTTTAAGATGCAGAAGATCCCTCATTATTCTTGTGATTGTCTTCCAGTAACTTATTGGGTACTTGTGGCACAATGATTTGATTGCTGTAGGTTTTACTTGTATATAAACTTATTGATTTATTGGTGGTACTGTGTATTATCATTCATGGGAATTTCAGATGCATCAACTGTGGAACTTAAAAACGTTAATAAATGAAATACTATTTCCATTCAATTTGTTATTTTCCTATTTTATTTGTGTAACATGGAGTATCTGTGTTTGGGGAAATTGGGGATTATTAGTTCTTTTAACATTTACTTTGATGTAGTAGTATAAAAGTTACTTTGGTGTTGATACAATGTGTTTTGTGGGAGCAGCAATCCAAACCTAGTTCATTTCAACGTTCTGAAAAAGGCAAAAGCATGCTTGTAGCGGCAATTATGGATATTGTCACTTCCAACTGTCACAGTGTGGAGAAGTTTCTATATAAACCCTTGTTACCAAAAAATGCTGAAATAAGAGATATTGCTGCAGCCATAGAAGTTGTGGAAGAAGGCGGCATGCATTGGGATGAGCAGCAAGAGGACGCAGATGATGATGACGGTGGAAAAGGAATGAAGGGTATTGGAATCAAGGTTCTGGGAGGCACAACAGTGCTGGGGATGTCAGGAACTGGTGGATATGCTGATGTAGATTATTCTGATTCCTATAACTCAAATCTTGCTAACAAAGCACCAAGAGATGTGCTATTCGACAGAATGGTTGAAAGCTCCCCCACCCAATCAAATTTGACTTCTTCTGTAGTTCCTGGCCTTTGGGATGATTTGCACTCTGAACATGTGGCAGTTCCATTTGCTGCTTGGGCATTAGCGAATTGGGCTATGGCTTCAGAAGATAATAGATCTCATATTCAAGAATTGGATAAGGATGGGCATGCAGTTATGAGTGCATTGATGGCACCTGAGAGATCAGTAAAATGGCATGGGAGTTGGTTGGCTCAGTTGCTTTTAGAGGACCGCAATTTGCCTTTGAGTGATTCTGTTTCAGACTGGAGTTCTAGTCTTCTTTCAACTGTTTCTCAAGCTTGTCGAACTCAGGACATACCATTGGCTCAAGCGGCTTTGTCTGCACTATTAGTTTCTCTTGAGAGATGCCCTGAAGCTCAAGACGTTTTTGTGGATAAAGGGCTTCATTCAATGAGAGAAGCAGCTAAACAGACGGTAAAGCATAAATCTGTCCAAGAATCATTAGCGAAAGCTTTAGAACTAATCAGTTCTAATGGACTTCATATGTCTCTTGAAGATAGCCAAAAATGGTCTGCAATTCTACTTTCTTGGATTTTTAACAAAGTGTCATCTGACACACTCCGTTTGTCAGCTATTAATATTCTTTCACACATCCTAGAAGATTATGGGCCATCATCCATTCCCATGTCTCAAGGATGGTTGACCGTCTTATTGACAGATACCCTGAAATGCAAGAAGGAAAGTTTAACAAAAGGTAGCAATCAGCCAACCAGTGATAAAGTTAAGGTGAGTGTGCGAAAATAATGTTTCATGGCTTTGACTAGTTCACTTTGATTCTTAATTTCATTATCATATAGCATTCTGGTATTCGAACATGATTTTATGAAAATTTCTTTTTGCAGACACAAATTGATCTTGCCAATGTTGTTTCTGCAACTCAAACTGCAAATCAATTAGTCAGTGCTGTTGTTAATTTAGCAGGAGCACAAATGGGGCCTGCAAATGAAAGCTCCAATTCCCTTCCACTAGCTGACCTCCTCTCCCTTGAACCCTTTATGGAATCATACAAAAATGTTAAGAAGGACAAGCCACCATTGATAACTGCTGCTGATTCTGCATTTGCCACTCTTAAAGGCATCAAATCACTGACAGAAATTTGTGCTGAAGATTCGTTGTGTCAACAAAGAATAGCAGACTTTGGAGTTCTCTGTTTACTTAAACGCTTTTTGTTGGAAGATGATTACGAGCAACTAGCTGCAATTGAAGCATACGATGCATCACGAGCTCTGGATGCACAACAGAGGGTGACATCTTCCTCCGGGGATTCTTCTGTTGATGATACTTATGGCCCTTCCAATTTAAGGGTTCCAGCCACTGCTCACATTCGGAGGCATGCAGCACGGCTTCTTACTGTTATTTCTGTTTTGCCAAAAGTTCAAAAGGCAATTGTGGAAGATAAATCTTTGTCTGGATGGCTTGAGGAATGTGCTAGAGGAAAGATTCCTGGTTGCAGTGACGCTAAAACTCAGAGTTATGCAAGGGCAACACTACTGAATGCATTCTGTAATGATCCTGCCAGTTGGAGGTCTGAAAGTGATGTTTCAGACAGTGGTTTGTTGAAAAGTCTACGAAATTGCCCTCGCTATTCTGACATGATATTTTTAATCAACCCTGATCTTCCTCATTGGAACTGTATGGAACAGAGAATCTCAAACACTGTTGGTAATCCTCCAGTTGATGATGATTCTTCTGAGAGGTCGTTGACGGGAGCTGTGAAGAATGATCATCCTTCTTCTTCTACTTCTGGAACTGAAAACTTCTCAAATATTCCTCCATTGGATGTTGTTTTTGTCCATGGCCTACGTGGAGGCCCATTCAAAACCTGGCGAGTATCAGAGGACAAGTCGTCAACAAAGTCTGGCCTTGTTGAGAAAATTGATGAAGAAGCAGGCAAACGAGGAACGTTTTGGCCTGGAGAATGGCTTGCAGCTGACTTTCCTCATGCTCGCTTATTCAGTATTAAGTACAAGGTGTTCTACACAAATACTTCTCGATTAATATTGAGTTCAAGCTTCTGTGCATGATTCACCTTCACTTGCAAAATTTTGTTGCAATTTCTTAAATGATGCAAGAGTGTCCTAAAAATTAGGGTTTCAAAATTAAGTGGTTTTAATTTAGGCAACCTGTTTTAGTATTAACTATTTTCTTGTTGCAAAATGCAGACAAACTTGACTCAGTGGTCTGGAGCCAGTCTTCCTCTTCAGGTTTGTTTAAGTTTCAACAATTATCAATATGTTGCATGCCTCTTTTGATGTTCCTTTACATGATCGGTTCTTTCAGAAGTTCTCCACCCCCTTCTTTCTAAATGAATAATTACTGTATAGTGAACAACTGGCTTTTTTAGCATCCCTCTTTAATTGTGTTGTATAGTTAAGCTGAACAAATCGCTCAATTTCAACTTGCATATACACATTTGTATGCCATGATGATTTATTTCTACTTCAATTGCTTTGGACATCATCTAAATAGATGTGTTTGTGCCATCATGCTATCATATACTTCTTGATGGAGTTCCTTTTAGTTCCTCTGTTTTTGCAGGAAGTGAGCTCTATGTTGTTGGATAAACTTGTTGCCGCAGGAATTGGGGATCGACCTGTAGTATTTGTAACACATAGGTAGGATTACAGTCATTCTAATTTATTAAAGCCAAGTTCTGATATACCATGTGCATTTTTGTCCTTTTGCAGCATATGCATAATCACTATAGATTAAGATGTAGCAATGCTAATTTTTGGCATCCCTATGTGTGAAGAAATGCCAGAAACCAGTTGGCCTAGTGGCATGCAAAGTACGTAAATATTTGATATATGCACATATATCCATATATATATATATATATATATGTACTGCCATCTTAATTTTGGTGGGTGTACAAAGAAACTAAAGAAAGCAGATAGATGTTTGGATAGAAATTCACACGTTTGAGAAGTTAGTTAGAGATTACAAGCATTGCTAAGAGAAAAGAACACCCTTACTATACATCAGTCGAGTTTGGATTCAAGTACTTTTTACAAAAGGTCCTATTTGTGGAACTGTTACTGACTTGAAACCTTTTTACTGAAAGCAGCTCAATGAAGTAGCGATCAAGATCACCCATTCATATACATGCTAATTATCCTTGGCTTCATGTGCAAGAATTCTAATTAGCACCCTTGCGTCATTAAACTTCAACTGATTACATGAAATTGTCACATATCTTCTGCAGCTTGGGAGGCCTGGTTGTCAAGCAGATGCTGTACAAAGCAAAAGCTGAAAAGAAGGATAATTTTGTCAGAAACACTGTTGGAATCGTATGTTTCTCCTTAAGCAGAAAAAGTCGTAGAATTTTGGTCTTGCCGCAATAGCTAAAGTAATACTACTTTTGTGTTTCAGGTCTTTTATAGTTGCCCACATTTTGGTAGCAAGCTTGCTGACATGCCTTGGCGCATGGGCTTTGTGTTGCGGCCTGCTCCCACTGTTAGTGATACACATTCGAACAATCCAATATTCGTTCACAACATGGGATTATATATTCTTTCCACCAATTTGAATCTATTTACATATTTTATATTAAAGTTAATTTATCTGCCATGACCAGATAGGAGAGTTGAGGAGCGGATCACCACGGTTAGTGGAGCTCAATGATTTTATTCGTCAACTTTACAAGAAAAATATGATTGACGTACTCAGTTTTTGTGAGGTACTTTTGATTTTCAATTTTAGTTCCACTGCAAGGACTCATTGCACAAGGCATTGACTACTATTGGCTTTGACAGACAAAGGTAACTCCAATTGTTGAAGGCTACGGAGGATGGGCCCTCCGGATGGAAATTGTACCCATGGAGTCAGCGTATCCAGGATATGGCGAACTTGTTGTAAGTCTTGGATGCAGTATCCTAAATGACCTCTTTTTCGAACTTTAAATTTACATGGTTCTTGACTTACTGGCAGTTATTTTACCATGCCATTCAGTTTAATGAAACATACGACCTCATCTAAGTTTTGGGCTTACTTTAAACTAATTTTGTTTTGTCGTTTGGACGCAGGTCTTGGACTCCACAGACCATGTAAACTCTTGCAAGCCTGTAAGCCGGGCAGATTCACCCTATAAAGATACTCTTGAGTTTCTGCAAAAACTGAAGTCTCATTTAACCGGAGAAGATTAACTGCACAATTAGATATTGCCCAGTTTCTAGAACGAGCTTTATTAGTGACGGCACGAAGCATAGTTGGAAGTCTGACTGTTTTGAGTACTTTCGACATTCATTCAGTGTCAATACAGCTCCCCGGAGTGCTGCTTTCCCTTTTGATTTTAGAACTTAGAAACAGCAAACAAAATATTACACCGTATAGAGTCACAAAGCTTCAGTGATATAATGCAGTCATGTTCTTCCTTAGCTGCAGATATCGAAGCCCCTACTCACAAAATAGCTTTGTATGTAGACTTTTCCTTATTATTTGTCTGGAAGTTTTTCCGACTGCTGATCATACATTCACCAGTAAAGAAAGAAATGTGATAGATACTATTATTGTATGAACTTATTATGACTCAGTTAACTAATTCATTTCCACAGCTTACCGATGGGACATCGATGCGTAGTATTTTTCTTTCAGGAAAGAATTTCCAGATTCCGGTGGACTACTAGAGATACCTTCCCCAATATGGAGGGACAGGATTGCTTCAGGTTAAGTGGTGTTTAAATTCAAACATTTTCATAATTGCCTATTAATGCACTTCTTGTGGTACTACTGTAACAGCAGAAGGTGGATCTTCAATGGCAGCAAAATCGAACTTCCCCACAGCTTGGAACCAACCACAAAGGATCTCCTTACTTCCTGTTCATGAATCTGGTTAGATTTCAGTGCACCACTAATTTTGCTTTCGATATTTGTCTGCACATGCCTTACTTTAATTTCCTGCTTCAAATATAGATCTATTTGTCCATTTCATCATAAAGGTGCAAAATATGAATTGGGATTTTAGCATATACTTAGTTTCTACCCACACACCAGCTTACTTGAGCATGTTGATTTCCTAAAGTTGTGTTTGTACCAAATAAATCCTGTTCAAATCCCACAATAGTTTCTAATGATCCATTTAGCTAACAAATGTAATTCAGATTGACTAAATGTGTAGATACAGACAGCCACAAAGTGGGCTGTAAAGACAATCCCTAGTTGACCATTTTACGGTATCTTTCAATTTCCAAGAGAAGTTCTTTAGATTGGATAGTTTATTAAGTTACACTAAATGAATCTTTTCATAACTATTGCAATCTGAAATACTGTTTTCAAGAGAATATATACAGTGATCCCATCCTCCAATCTTTCTGCTCTATAAATACTTCACAAAACGGAGCATTACAGATCACATTGGAAGTTCTTGTTTATCTCATTTTCTTGAATCCCTTTTCAATAAAAAGAAAATAGTGCACATCATGGCTGAAGCCAAGGTTATTGCAACTTGTGTTTTTCTACTTTCCCTTGTATTATTTGGTGGAATTCTCCCGATTCAAGGGAGGGTTTTGGCGAACAAGGCAATCGGTAGAAACATACATTTGGGTATAAGAAATTATGAGAGGAAATTACTAGATGAAGTCTCTCGTGATAATCAGGGGGTTCGAGTGGATGAGCTTGTGGGGGAGAGTGTAGATGCTCACCCCACAACACTCGACCATAGTCCCGGTGTCGGGCATGGTTCTCGACCATCGAGCACCAGGCCAGTAGCCTGAATTGTAGAACTCAGATTCATATGTTGTTATGACTCTATTGATGCATGCATTTGCTTTGTTATGGTTAATTGAATGTAACAGTACTGTGTGTCACTCTACTTGTGGCATTTGCTTAGGGTATTTTGGTTCTTGAATTGCTCTTTGTTATTCAAAAATATATATATATATATACATATATATATGTATATATCTCAGTGTGTGTGTGAAATTTGTAGTTCATCAAATAGAGCTATGGTCTTAGTTAAATTTTGAAATAATCATGAGAAGTATGTTATGAATGAAAAATAAATTTAGAATCTTAGATGTGATATGTATAAAATGAATGTTGGAAAATTGCGAATTTGAGTATACATAAATAGATTCGAACTATTCAATATTTCATAATTAAAATCCATAACACCTTGCCAAATAAAAACAATAAATTTGATGGAATCATTTAAAATATTAGCCTAACTGGCCTTCTATCAACCATTTCCAAACATTGAAAATGACCATATAACTAGTTTAACTTTAAAGTTAACACATTCAAACTATAATCAAATCTCCTTCAAATTCAAAATTGCATGAAGCCCAGCCTTGATACAATTTTAATTGGAAACATTGAAGTTAAAAACAATGACTAAAACCAACTCTCCGAAATTCATGGTTTCCTCGATGATCCATCCTATCCCTTAAGCAGATGGTTTCTGGCAGGCGGCGAATAGCTGCCAGCTAATGAAAGCCATTACCAGAGAAGTGAAGAGCTCAAATCCTACTACCTTTGGAAAATGCCATCCAAGCCCCCGTTTTAGGTAACTACATCAACACATAATCGCAAAATCAAGTTTATATTATAGCGAGATACGACCAAATAAATAAATGAATGCTTGGAAAACATTTCCTTCGGGACTCCCCGATTGTTCTTTAATTTTTTCTCCCAAAATAATATAAAAATCAAACAATTATTTCAATTCAGATTTTTACTATTCTTGATCCCAAATTCAATTCTCAAACATTGGAACAAACATAGTCAAACATCTATTTATATTACATTAAACCATTATTCCAGTTCAAATTCTTACTTTTCTCAATCCCAAATTTTAACTCTCAAACTTACAACCAAACACAATTTGTTATGATTTAAAACTACAATAATTTTTTTTTTTTTATTTTTCTCTTTGAAATTACATCATATTTAATAATTAATTTTAATTTGAAACATCGTGTTCACCCTAGTTTTCATTGAGAGAAGTTGAATCCAAAACACACTAAAACACAAGCCAACATGGTACCTTGTGATTGATGGCATTGTAGCTGCGATCCCGGCACATATGTAAATGATAGGAATTAAAGTCTTGGGCTTGTTTTTCCGGAGCCACATTAGGGAGCCTAATGCCGCTAGTGATATACTCAGCACCTGAGATACGAAACGAGCCAAGATTTTCAAGGATAGGAAAACGATCCATTAGTTGAAAATGGTTAGTATAAAAAGATTAGAAGAATTTGGAGGGCATTACAGAAAGATAAACACAAATTCAATATGAGAAGTCTAATAAGATGACGAAAGCGGACAGTAAATGCAAGACAAATCATTGTACCAGGCTTGCATTTGCTTCAAGGCCCTGTAAGATGTACTCCCAAGTGAACTCCAAACCTCGTGCACCGACCCACAGAGGTGCCAGCCGATGGAGAACAGAGTCGGCAAAAGCCCAACCTGGATTGCACGGTTTTTTGTATTAGGACATCTGTTGTTTTTGTCCTTATAACTGAGAAAATGTTCTGGAATAACATACCAAGTCCTACAGCTTGGAACTTGTGATTTTGCGAAATGTTTCTGTGAGTTAATTGTGTCAAGGCAAAATAAAGCCCGGCGACATCTATAAACCCAATTGTAGCTTTCAACAGTTCCTGGAAAGAGGAAATGGAATGAAAACGATGTATCCAATAAGGGCTAAAACTATATCCTACACGCTCGTAAACCAAGCTCTGCACCCGTCAACCCTCCACCCAATCACAAAAGACACAGCTTCAGATAAGCCAGTTCAGATTACCAAAAATGATAATCCCTCCATCCACGAAACTTAAGCATTCTTGTTTGGACACGGAAATTAAGACATAATGATATTTTGAATATAAAAGTGAAGTAGATAATAAGTAAAGTGGAGGTATTATAAAAAAAAATAATAGCCAATTGATTATTGTTTCTTAAAGCAGGGGTAATAAAAATGTAGCGGGATATCATAAAATTATATATTATAAATATATAGTTTAGCAGATAACAAAAAAACAGTGACATAAGTTTGGCGGATGGAGAGAGCATTAGCTTAAGAAAAGCTAAAGATTCAATTAATGATTCTCAATAAATGGATTCATATGGCGATTTCCTAAACATTGTGCAATCCAATTGTTCACAATTTCGGAAAATACAAAATCCCTTTTCCAACACAAAAGGGTACAGAGTTTAGTTCGTTAGCATGAAAAGTTTGTTCTACATTCTAAAAACTAGAAGACACAGCCAAACTATTCCATGACATTCAATAAATCACGATAACAAAAGTGCCGCCTTCCATGTTACGTGGATTGGAATGACAACAAAATAGAATGATACAGAGTGTTGATCAAGATCAATAGAAATAATACCTGATACGGATCAAAGTTGTCGCTCTCAGATACATTAAGAAAAGTTGCAAGGCATACAAGCTGGAAAGCAGAAACACGACAACTAAGAAAATGCGACAACGAAGAAGAAACTCGAGTACAAACCATTCAGATATCTAGATTACAGTAACACACCTTTACTAATGCCGTCACAAGATAAACAACAGCAGCTTTAATTGAAGTACCAAGTGTATCATACTCAGATCTGTTCACAAAAGAAAGTTAACATAGATACTATAAGATTCTTCAACTTTCCTATTATCACCAAACGATAAACTATACAATCTTGCAAAACAGCATTGAATGTACATCTCAACATCTGCAAATTTTCAAAATAACAGAGTTTTCATTGGTGTAATTAGGTGCTAAGCTTTGCCTGCACACGATCGGTGTTGATGAAACTTCAACATAAAGCATAATTAGCTTAGTACCAAATAGTTACTTCATTGCTATGTTTCAATTAACAATAAAACGATTCAACTTGGAGCGATATCTACAGCACACGTTCAAAACTTCAAAGAACATATCAGGAACAACAATCGCATATAATCAATTCTAATGGCGGGAATTCAAATATTGGCAATAGCTACTACGGAAGATTCTACCAGATCTGGCGAATAACTTCCACAGATTAAGAGGCGATGAGTGAGCTTACAGAGGGGTAGCCGAATAGTACACGGCGTGAGGGCCAAACGTCAGAATTGCGCAGTTGAAGAAGTGAAACAGCGTCATTTTCCTTCTGCTACTCCGCCAAATTGGAGGGATCGGAAGCACCGTCTTCAATGGCGGACGATGGCGGTGATCGCAGATGTGAGCCTTGGATTCGTAATATTGGGCCTAAAATCAAAATGGGCCAATTTATAAACTAAGTCGGCCCAAACATCGAAAATCTACATCATAACCTTGTAACCTTATATTTTACCATATTTTACCATTTTTAATTTTATTTTTCATTTCATACTTTTTTATTTTATTATATTAAAGTACTCCCTCCGTTCATGACCAATTCTTCCTTTTTTTTTTTTTTTTTTTACGGCCCACAAAAGATATCCTTTCTATTTTTATCAATCTTAAACATATTTTAACAAATATAAATCAATTTACTTAAACTTCAATATTACCGGATCCACTCAAAATCTCTTTATTTATATTTCTCTCTTCAATTAACATAATTTTTTATCTATATTTAAAACTTCTCATTTTTTATAAAACTAATTTATAGTAATGACTTTTTATTTATTTGTATTATATAATATTTTATTATCTCCAGAATTATATCAATATTCAATATATTTTTTTAGAGATATAATCTTAAAAATTTTTAAAATACCAATAATATTATTCATATAAAAAATAATAAATTAATAGCATAACTTATTATTAATAAATTACTAATATATGCTATCTAAAAAAACCAGTGTCCCTAATAAAAAGGGTTTATCAATCAACTATTTTAATTCAAAATTTTAATATTCAAAATCAAAACCCAAAATTAAAACTTAAATTTAACGATGAAAATGAACATATAAGTTTAACGATGAAATCAGAAAATTTAAATTTCTAGGCATATAAGAACCCCACGAAAACAAACACGGAAAATGCAGAAGTTGTTCTAATATTCAAACCTGAAAAGAGGATTAGGGTTCATACAAAAACCGAACCGTACACGGACCGTGGCGTGAGCGTCAAGCCGTGAACGGCGGACCGGCTGTGATGTGATTCGGGAAACAATGGCAACTCTGCAAACAGCCGCGACTGGTAAAAAGGTAAAAGGAAGAACCGAAAAGGAAAAGGCAAAAAGAAGAGGAAGATGGGCAGGCGCAGGGCTGTAGGTAGGTAGGTAGGTTAAGTTTAGGGTGAGTAATTTATTTTTAAATAAAATACTCCCTCCGTCCGGTGACAGAACGACGTTTATTTTTTCCACATGTATTTTTTAATATTAGTATTATATTAAATTATAATAAAAAAGACAAAAATATCTTTATTAGTATAGTGTAATATAAAAGTAATGACATATGTGTAATATATTGTAAATTGGAATGATATTTCTTATAGGTAAATAGTATATTTACTAAATAAGGAAATGATAATTTTGTTTTGGGAGCTGACGAAAATGAAAAATGATAACCTTTCAATAGAACGGATGGAATAATTATAATTTATAGTGTAAATTATATAACACTCTTATAAGGCAATAGCCTACGTTGGAGCTAGTCGACTATATTTTAGTAAAAATTGCGTGAAACCTTATCAAAAATTGATATTTAATTCTAAATAAAGATTTAAATTTCAAAAATTTTATACAAATAAAAAATAATAAATATTTTAAATATTTTTTTTTAATAAAATTCATAAATAGTAATTGATTAATACTTCATTTTATAATTTTTGGAGACAAGTTTTTATCTTATTTTTATAAAAACTATAAAAATAGATTATTAATCAATTATTTATTTATTTTATTAAAAAAAATTATTTAAAATATTCTACGTATTTTATTTGTATAAAACTCGCATAATTTAGAAATTTGTTTAGAACCAAATATTAGTTTTGGACAAATAGGGTGTTTCATGCAAATTTTACATTAACACGAGGGAATTTCACGCAATAAATAAATTATAGGATGTTTTGTACATTTTTACTAAAATAGTGTAATTTATAATAATTAAATCTCAAACGTCATATTTTTACTATTTGAATTATACGTTTTTTGAAATAAAATATATTTTTTATTTCTCTCACAAAACATCTCATCATACATTATTTTAATACTAAACTCAAACAAAATTTTCCGAACTACATCAAAACATACCCATTGAAATCTGTTTTCCTAGGAATTTTTTAATACATGTATATTAATATTTTATAGATAAAAATATAATACAAAAATATAAAATTAACAAAATAATTATATATATGACTCAAAGAAGCTAGTAATATATTTATACTATCATTTTTAATCATAATAATTAAGTAGACCGATACAAAGGGAAAGCATATATATATACACACACACACGTACATGTAGACAAGAGTGTTTATTTAGTTCTTTAATACTCCCTCGGTCTCAAACCTATAGTTTTAATTGAGTTGGACACCAGATGTAAGAAATATTGATATTATATTAATAGTTGGTAAAAAATATAGATGAAATTTTTTTTTACCCTTCTGAGTGTATTAGTGTAAAAAAAGTGGCAATTATGTAATAAAAATAAAAATAGTAAACAAAACTATTGTATTGAAATTGAAGGAGTATACATTTTGAAAGTTTGGATATATTTCTTTAGTCGCTAAAATTCCGTATATTATTATTTAAACGGTATATTTTTAAAATATATGTATATATATATTTTTTCGTTTCACAAACAATACATCCCATCCTACATTGGTTTTATATTGGGTGACTAAAGAAACACACCCCAATTTTGGTAAGAGAAAGATGTAACAGACACAAATTATAGAAATAAGAAATTGGATTTTTTCGGATTTGTTTATTTTGACTCCGGATCTCATCTTTTTATTATTTCGACTCTATGTTTTTCTAAAAATATATATATATACAAAATATCTAATTATATATTATTTTAATATCAAATTAAAATTAATTTTTTTCAAAACGTATCCGAAATAAATGAATTAAATTGCAAATAAAAATTAGAATAAAAAAAAAAAATAAAATTTCACCTCGTGTTAGTCCCTACTGGGTGGGGGGACATATGTATTTTATTATTTACTTTTTTTTGTAAATTTTTACTATTTAATTTTTTTATTTTTTTCTAAAATATCACATTAACAATTATTATTATTTTTTTTATAATTTTAATTTTTTACTATTTAAAAATCCAAACTATATAGAAACAAACACACCTATAGACACTAGCCAAAGTGTGACCGATGATCCATACGCATTTACACTCAAATTTACAAAAGTACAAAAATAAATAAAAATCTTCACAAAAATATTTACAATCATATATATATGATAAATAATAATTAATACTAACAACTAAACTGTCTAAAGTGTTGGATAGATCAGTGGTTTGCAGACGGAACGGAGTCCCAACTATAATCTCCGGGCCAATACGGCGTCGTTTCAGCCACGCTCCACACCTTCACCGACTTATCCAAACTTCCACTGTACACCACCCACTTATTATCCCCGCCGCCGGCCGCCGGCGACTCCGCCTCCACCGCCAGGCACTTCACCGGCCCGGTGTGCCCCGTTAGCACCGACAGACACGTGTGCACAGCGCCGTCCCGCCGCCACGAGCATATCGTCTTGTCGGCGGAGCCGGTGAACACCAAATTATTTCCGGCCGCCGCCAGGCAGAGCACCGCCAGCTTGTGGCCGCGGAGGACGCCGCCGTGCGAGAGCTGGTGCTTCTCACGGAGCCAGAAATTGACGAGCCCGTCGGAGGAGCCGCAGTAGACGACGGCGCCGGCGGCGCCGACGGCCAGCGCCGTGACGGCGTATTCCTGGCTGAGGAGAGTGTGCGTCAGCGCGTGGCGCACAATCTTGCCGTTCTGCTCCCGTTTCCAGACCTTGACGGTGCCGTCGGCGGAGCCGCTGTACACTATCCCGTCGGAGGCGGCGACGACGGAATTGACGGCGTCGTCATGCGCCGCCACCGACTCGATGCATTTCGACGTCTCCACTCTCCAAACCTGTTGGAAAATAAAATAATAATAAATCCTGTATGAAAAATATACTATGTCAACAGTCGATCTATCTATTTTCTTTTTACATATTGATGTTTAAATATTAATTATTATATCAAAACATGATTCTAAATGCAAATATAAAAATATTTTTAATGTTAAAAACAATGATTTCAAATGCAAATGAATAGATTAGCTGTGGACCAAGGTAGTACTATATTTTTTTTCTCATCTCAACTAAAAAAAATATTTTTATCATTTTCATTTCATTCACTAAAAAATATTCTTCCTTCTCAACTAATAATTTGTCCATTTTTTTATTTTTGTTCGTATCCAGCTAAAGTGGACAATTTATTTCGCACGAAAAAGGGTATCAATTTATTAATGTAGTAAATATTTTATAGTATATAAACAAAATATTTTTATGTTCACTTTTACAAAAATTACAAAAATATTACTCTTTCCACTAATATACTTCTCATTTCACATTTTAATTTTTACAAATCAAATTTTTTTATTTCCTATTAGAAAAATAACTTTCAACTAAATATAAAAATACACTCAATTTTTACTTTACATATTAAATTATTTTAGTAAATTATATATTTATAAAATACTATTTTACCTTAGTCCACTTGCAAATATCAAATGAAAATCTTACAGCTAGATAGAAGGAATATTACTTTATTTGTATTTTAGACAAATTATCGAATTATCTTACACAACCGTGTCTAAGGCCAAGGCCATCTTCAACCGGGGGCTGCAATTTTGACGTTTAATTAATTAATTTATTTATTTATAAAAATATTTTTAAAAAAATATTAATTATAGATATAAAAAGTGGTTTAAAATAATATATAAGAATAAATTATATAATATCTTTTGTTTTTAGTAAAAATATATAAAATATTACGTGTGTGAACACTCTCTGTATTAATATAAGGTTTGCGCGAAACTTCAAAATTGATGTTTAATTCTAAATAAAAACTAAAAAGAATTATTCAAAATACTTTACCTTCGCGTACAAACTTTACTGTTATCAAAAAATATTTTTATTTTTTTTAAATAAAAAATTATTCCAGAAAAATTAACAATCACTTTTATTAAAAGAGCACACAATAATAATAATAATAATAATAATAATAATGTGTAGTTTAAAGGCCAGTAATAACAAACCTTAAACGTGGTGTCCCACGACGCCGAGTAAAGCAGCCCCGTCTCCCGATTCATGCTCAGGCACGAAACAGCATCGGCGTGTCTAATCCACACCGCGCTGCGGCGGCGCGTGACCTCCACGTAATTCCTCGGCCTGATCGACGCTTTCAGTATATCATAAAACGTCGGCATTGTCCCCACGCGCTTGTGCACCCCGCCGGCCGCGGAACTCACTTTCCAAACCCTAATCTTCCCGTCCTGATGTCCGGTGAATATCCGGTCGCCGGAAATCACAATCGCCTTCACCAGCCCGCTATTGGATTTAAACGCCGAGAATTCCTCCATCTTCTTCCACACACGAATGTTCTTGCTGTCGGAGCCTGTGTAGAGAAGCTTCTCGTTAACGGCCAGGGAATAAATGTGGCCTTCTTCTCGGACAAGGCTTCCGATGAGGCCTGTCGGCGGGAGATTCGCCGGAGAATAATTTGACCATGGGGATTTGGCGAAGGGGGAGGTCTGGTTCCATGGGGACGTCGTCATCGGAGAGCCTTCGGCGGTGGCGCCGGCGCGATCGAAGGAGGAGACGCAGCTGTTCCTGGCGGCGAATTCATCGTGCGCGGCGGCGGTGGCGGCGGTGGTGTAAGAGGAGGAGATGTTGGGATCGGAATGGACTGTCGGGTAGCCTCTTTTGGAGCTATACATATTAATTAATTAGGCGGCGGCGGTATTGGAGTTTGTGTAATTTTGTGACATTTCCGATGGGATTGGAAGGTCTGGAAGAAGGATTTGCCGACGACCGAAATGAGGGAGATGGAGCGGTGTTGTAGGAGGGATTGGGAGGAAGAGATGGGAGTGCCATCGGATTGTAGGATTTTGACACGTGTACGGTCAGGGAGGGTTTGCTTGGGATGCTTTCTTTGTAAACGTGTGTATTGTTTTTGAAGATTTTATGACAATTTTACTGTTTAACAGTTCATTTTTTTTTTTTTAATATCATATTAAATTAATATATCTATTTATATCATATTATACAATTATTTAAATTTAAAAATTATATTATTCAAATATCAAACTAATCTAAAAACAGTGGATGTCATTTTATGGATTCAATTCATCAATCCAGTAATAAAATGGCGATATCTATTTATTTATTTATTTATTTATTATTATTATTATTATTAAAAAGAAAAATTAATTTTGATCATAATATATATAATTAAAATTAATTAATTTTAGTTTCTAACATAAAATAAAATACAATGGTCAGGGAGGGTTTACTTGGGGATGCTTTCTTTCTTTCTTTCTAGGTGGATGTAGTTTTATGGGTTTTTAATTCATCTCCCGGTAATAAAATCGCGACACCTATTTATTTTTTATTTTAATTAATTAGTAGTATATTTTATTTTTTAGTTATTTGAATAAATTATAAAATAATCATAATTAAATTAGGAGTAGACATAACAATGTTTAACTTTTCACTATAAGTGCGTGACAACGAAGACAACAAAAATATTCTCCAACTCTACACATAACACACAAGGCTTATGTTTTTATAGAATAAAAATAAATCAAATAGCAACTCTTCAAATATAGAAATAAAAAAGCAATTTATATAAAAGTCTTCAAATATATAAATAAATATACTATTTATCTCATTTTTTTCCCAAAAAAATATTAAATTAAACACCTATTTTTTTATTTTTTATATTATACTAAAAATCAATTTTATATTCAAAAGATCCGGGTCTAAGAGATTTTAGGTTGGATCGGGATCAAAGAATTTGAGTTTGTTAAGATATATTTATAAATAATATATTATATTTATGGTAGTTGTCTTATTTAAAATATTCGTAAAGTTTTTGCTTTATTTAAATGAATTTTATATCGCTATTGTTTGAATTGGCCAAAAAAAAGAATTTCAATATATATAGGCATATATATATATATATATGTAGACACTAAATAACAATAGATAAAAAATATACTAATAACTATAAATATATACATATTCTTGCGATTAATATAAAAAATTTAAGTTTCATATTCTAGCAGGGTTGTTGATATTTATAAAAAATTATACTACCTAAAATGGAGAGATGAAATTTAATTTAGAGGAAATGCGAATCTGCGACTGCTAAATAAAACAGTCACATTAGGAGAATCATGTACGACAGACATGACGGTGAGACGTCGAAGTTCAAATTTACGATTTCACGATCACAAGTTCATCCGTACACTATCAGACCATCTTTTACGGAACTAATATTGATTAAATTTGACTATAGCATGATTAAGTATTGCTTAACGTAGTCGACAAAATCACGTGCCACAAGAATCTAACTATATATATATATATATATTTTAATACGTTACAAGAATCTAAAGCACCGACCCACTTTAATTATTTAATTTAATTGCACAAACCCTTCAAAATCTTATCTTTAAATAGACGTTAAGTTCATTAATTACTTCCATCTAATTAATAACCAAAAATGACTTCCGAATTAGTGTCCGGAAATCATACCAACAGCAAGAGCAAAACAGAAGAACAAGAAGAAGAAGAAGAAGAAGAAAGCAACGTCAGCCGGCGGTTGTGTTTGAATCCGGCGGCCGTTCCCGTCGACAGGGCGGCGGTGCTCCGCCGCATCCGCCACCGGAAGCGTCTGAACAAGGTGAAATCGGCGGTGCAGGCTCTTTTCACGACCAGCTCTCCGTCGCCCTTTGGTAATAATATTTACAGTGACCAAAATAAGAATAAAAATGGTGGTTCTACTGGTCAGGAGATTCGATGGTCCGATGATGCTTTTGCTGCCCCTTAGCTTAATTAATTGATTAGATTAGCTTCGTCACTTTTATAAATTATTGCAAATTACATTTGTGCATTAGTAGTTTATAATAAATGTTTTTTTTTTTTTTTTTGTACTACAGTGTCTTGGCCACTTGTAAACTTTCATTAACGTTTATATTGGGAATGGAACTTACTTTTATATACGGTGGTGTGTTCTTTTTGTGTTTGTTGAAAAATAAAGTAAAACATAGATTATTGAGACGAATTACGAGATTAATGATCGAACAATAAACAAAAATGTAAAGAAGATATAGATTTATCTCGAATAATAAATATAAATATGAAGAAAATACAGATTGATGTATTTTACGATTACGCGTTGGTTACATTCACAGACAGATGGAGAACAAATTTATTGAAGACCTTTACGATATATCGGTTTCATATCTCTAAGCTTAATAAAATAAACAAACAGAATACATCATACGGATTCAGTTCAATACCAACTTCAAAGCTCGATATGCATACCGTCGGACCAAGGGCCGCTCCCCGCCCCCGAACCCAAGCAAGGGTTCGCCCCCCTTGACCCCGTGAAAACTGAACGAAATTACAAACTAGATTCAAGATATTAACATAGATAATGAACCGAAAGTAAAGACTAAGAAATTTAGTATAGTATGAACATGACTTGTGGAGTACAAAAATAAAGGTTTTTGTATATACATAAAATATATTTTGTTAACGAGATAAATAAAAAATAAAAATAATAATTGAATATACATAATGAATATTTTTTTGTAATTTTTCCAAATTCATAGTGTTTCTTTTAGTTATATAACTTTGGGAAAAAAAAATACATTATTATTATTATTATGTACTTTTTCCGTCCAAACAATAAGTATACATTTATTTTTGGCACATAATTTAAAAAATAATAGTATTTTAATTATAGTGGGTAGATAAAAGTAGTGTAATGATATTTTTGTCCTTAATTTTTTTATATAAAAGTAATGATGTGATGTAAAGTAAGGGTATTTGTGGAAAAAAAAAATAGAAAATTTAATGAAATATTACTTTGTAAGTGCACGTCCCAAAATAAAAATATGTATACAAAGAGTCAACCAACAAACTAGTATATATTCTCATAACTTTTATGGACTGTTTGGAGAGAAGCCAAAAATAGAAATCAAAAGCAGACCAGTTCGATTTTATATTTGTATATAATAAAGTTGAAAGTCTTTTTAAACTGTTAAAATAACCAAAAAAGACATAGTAATGTAAATAATATATTTAATTAAAATTTTCTAATTTATTTAGAATTTTATTAATTATATTTAAAAATTTTAAATTATCGAAGACAAGATATTTATTAAATTTTATATATTAATTTGTTGTAATATTAGTATAGGATTAACCAATAGAAATATTAATTATCCCCACCACTAACCACTATTATATATTGTATATAAAAGTAAGCATACATATATTTATAGGTGTAGATTTGCTATGAAAGTGATACAACAGCATCCACGAATCATCGACGTGTGTACTGCATAATATATATGTAGACACTACGTCTATATCACTCTCCTTTGGATGCTTTTATACGAAGAATGTGCCTCGTTAAAACTTTACTAGAAAAAAACTTTATTTTTTATAAAAATGAAAAATGAAAATTTAATTAAATTTAAATAATACTAGTATTCTACAAATTATTTTAATTTTAAAAACTATATTTAAAAATATTAAACATGTACTATATAATTAAATTTTATATTTTTAAATTTTAATATTTTAAATTTAATTAAAATAAAAATTATAAATTTATAATTCAAAAAAAAAATTGTTTGTGCTTTTGAGGATAAGCCAATAAAAATAGGAATTTTTTTTTTTAGAATTATAAGCCAAAAGCAATTGTCATAAGCAAATCCAAACGGGTCTTATTAGTTTTATTATGAATACTCAGAGCATCTCCAACCATACCCCAATTATGAAGTCTGAACTCCATTTCTACCGTCATCAAACTCCAATCGAGCGCCATTTGCAACACTATTTTTGGTGTTGCACTATAGCAAGCGTCATTTTTTGTGTGTGTTTTATTTTTTATTTCTTTTAATTTTTAAAATTATAAATTTTTTATTTTTAAATTTATATTTTATTTTTAAAAATATTTTAAAATTTTATTTTAAATTATAAAAATAAAAAATTGTTTAAAATAATAGGATAAAATGAATATTTGAAGAATTATTACGGAAATTCCAGAAAATCAAAACGAGACAACAAAGACAAAAGAACACAAGAATTTGGTAACCCAGTTCGATCACGATGATCTACGTCTGGGGCCGCTGCCAAGCCAGGAATTTTACTATAAAGTACGCAGGCACCTGTTAAAGTGAGAATACATGAATATTTATAGCCTAAGCCTTTGACAATAATATCTAAATCATATCTCTAAAATCTAAAATATAATATCCAAATCATATTCCTGGATTTTAGGATATAATCAGGCTTCATATCCCAACAATCTCCCACTTGAAGACTGATTTCATCTTTCACTTCAACATACCTCATCCAATCTCCACTCCCCACCATTCGGTGTTCTGATTCGAGTCATTCCTTTACTTACAATTTTTAGTGTCTCATCGTTTGCAAGATAGACAACACCAAAATTACTTGTGGATAGGATTCCATGATTCCCGAATCACTGCATGAGTGGAATGGCACTCCTGAGACCAAAATCCATGACTTCATTGGACTGCTGACGCTCAGAATTAGCGCATCAGATATCTCTTCCGTTGCATTTGCTGAACCTTGATCCTTCTCCGGCGCCCTGCACTGTCGTTTCAAGTGCCCCTTGCAGTTCCAACATACCACCTGACTTGCATCTTCTTTGTCTTTATTCTTCGGCTTCAACTTTGACTTGATCTTCACACTTTCCTTTTGCCTCAAATCTAAATTCAGTCGAGACATTCTCCCAAAGGGTTAGTCGAACCGCACTCATCGTCTTCCTGTTGATCTTCTTGTATTCGGCTTCATCCATGTCTTTGGATTTCTCCTTCAATACCGCATCTAGATCTTTACCATTAATGTAATCTTCTATATGCATATTTTTAGAAACCGAAGTTCATACCATCGAATACCTTGACAACATGACGATCACCCATTTTGACTCCCACAAACAAACCTAAGGTTCACTTGATATGAGAGCACATCGGATATTCCGCTGCGTTTGCCGAAACCCTTATCCTTCCCTACCAACCTTGCACCGCCTATCACAAAGGGACTCGCTGCCTGACCTACCAGTCGGGACCGACCCAACACCGCCAGGAGACTTTTGACACAAGGCACCTCCGCAGGTCACAAGGGATTCCAATGATCCAACGTCCGATTCCTCTCAATCCACCATATCAACGAACTAGGCTCTGATACCACTTGTTACGGAAATTCCAGGAAATCAAAACGAGACAACAAAGACAAAATAACACAAGAATTTGGTAACCCAGTTCGATCACGATGATCTATGTCTGGGGCCGCTGCCAAGTCAGGAATTTTACTATAAAGTACGCAGGCACCTGTTAACGTGAGAATACATGGATATTTATAGCCTAAGCCTTTGACAATAATATCCAAATCATATCTTTAAAATCTAAAATATAATATCCAAATCATATCCCTAGATTTTAGGATATAATCAGGCTTCATATCCCAACAAGAATAATAGTGAAAATTGGAGTTATGGTTGGAGTAAAATTACTGTAACAACTGTATATTTGGAGTTAAAACGGGATAAATGAAGTTGATGGGTTGAAGATGGCCTAAGGGTGTGTTTGTTTGAGGGTTTGGATTTTGAATTAAGATTTGAATAGTAAAAAAATTGAATTGAAATAGTTGTATGATGTGATATAAATATGAATTGATGTGATGTTTTGAATGTAAAATTAATTTTTAATATAATATAAAAAAATAAAAAATTAGTATTTGATTTGATATTTTTGAAAAAAATATTTTATATAAATAAAAAATCCACCAAAATCTTTCAAACAAACACGCCCTTAATAGTTTTATTCAGAATATTCCATGGATTAATTGAAAATTTACATATAGAAAGATGAAAAATATTAAAGCATGTATAAGTAAAAGTGTATATCGGTGTAAATCTGAAAAACCCTTAAATTAATATTTACTCCCTCCGTCCCCAATCTATTTATCCATTTTGTTTATGCATGAGATTTTAGGAATATTAGTATTATATTGGGATAAAGTAGAAATAAAGGTACAAAAACTAAATTAACCCTATTAGTATTGTATGATATAAAGGTAATGACATTTGTGTAATATATTGTAAATTAGAAGGGTATTTGTAATGTTAGGTAGATAGTACAATTACTAAAAAAAGGAAAAGAATATTTTTTTATAGGACAGACCAAAATAAAAAAATAAATAAATTATTAAGAGACGGAGAGAGGGAGTATATAAATATAAAAAATGTAGACAGGTGGTATATATTATTCATCAAGACGCAGTTATGAGTGTAAAATTATTTTCATATTTTTCTCAGGTCATGAAAAATCCTTAGCCACATGGCCCAAGCCCATTGGAGCAAATTGGCCCATCAGTTGTATATATATAAATATAAATCATTACACCTTCCTATCAAAAAAATATACTAAATCATAGACTCTAAAGGTTTTATTATATCAAAACGTAATATAAATTAAAAAAAATTATAAAAATACTTCTATTAGTGTTTTATAATACTTATAGAAAAATATTTGTATAAAAATTTATACAAATATAAAAATATTTTTAATGTTAATATAATAACACAAAAAATAACTGTAACTTTAGAGGTGGAGGGAGGAAGTAAATAATTACAAGGAAAAGTAATGTGAACAAAGATTGTATAATGGAAGAAAAATAATGATGGATTAACTGAATAATGATGCATGTCAAAATCAAACTCCATGAAAATGACCACAATTCTAAGGGTGCGTTTGTTTGGGGATTGGATTAGATTTTTACTATTCATTCCATTTTTTTTTCTTAAAAATATCAAATCGTTTTTTATTTTTTATATTATACTAAAAATTAATTTTACATTCAAAACATCACGTCGACACCTATTTATATCACATTATACAATTATTCAAATTCAAAATTTTTTATATTCAAAATTTCAAATTGGTTATGTTTTTTTTTTTTTTAAAACCTATTTCCAATGATTTTAATTTTTGCACAAAATATCATATTCTACATTTAATTTTAAATTTAATGTATACTAACGTGTTAATTGTACTGTGCACGGATATATTCTATTAAATTATATGATGTTTAATTCTAAATATTATACGTATTAATATGAATTCATTATTAATTTAATTTATTAAATATTGTATAAATATATCTAAAAGGATTTTAGTGTAAAAATTGATGTTGTATGGTTTTTGTTCATATATAATGAAATATACTTATTTTTTTCTTATGAAAAAAAAAAAAAAAAAAGTATAAAACACAGACCAAACACATCCCACATAATTCATAAATTCAATTATACTATAAGAAATAAGTCACTGATCAAACTCTGGTAATTATTTTTTCGACAGAATCTGTTACATAGAGTTTGCCTAATAGTATGATTTTTTTTCAACGGTCGGATTTGCTAATTATTACATTCAACCGTATGAACGCAAAACTAAATTTAAAGAAACAATTATATACTCCTGGTTCAGATATCATGTCCACGTTGCCGTTTCTGTCCGTCTCACGTATCATGTCACTTTTTTTTTTAGAAAATAATTACACAATTTCAAATTTTATTTTATTTTTAATTTTAATTAAATTAATTAGTTATCTTAATTTTAATTTATAATTATTTATATTATAGGATAATTATTTTCACTAGATATATTATTAATTATCTATTAATTACACCCCTCCTAAAATACCGTGTCTATGGTGTAGCAAACATGGTATGTGGGAGGGAAGGAGTATTAAATTTAATTTAATCATCACACGATTTCTTTGTCTTCACTCTTCACCATATAATTCCTAATAGTATTCTATATTTAATTTAATTTAATCTATATTTAATTTATTTTATTTTATTTTATTTTTCTAAATTCTTCTTCTTCTCCACAGTTGTCTAAAACTTCATACATCCTTAAACATGAACCCCAAATCTCCGATTCCAATCCTCTTTCTCGCCATATTCTTTCTTCCCTGTCGATCATCGGACGGAGGCGGCGGCGGCGGCGGTTGCAACCAAACCTGCGGCGGCCGGACGCTTCCTTTCCCGTTCGGATTTTCCGCCGCCTGCCATATCCGCCTGAATTGCTCCTCTGACGCGGCGGTCCTCGCCGCCGGATTCCCCGTCCAATCCATCTCCGGCGACACCGTTCTGATCAACCTCCCGCCGATCTGCGGCCGCCCCGTGGAGGAGCTCCGCCGCCTCTTCACACAAAACTACGCGCCGACGTCGCGCAACGCCGTCCTGTTGCAGAACTGCACGCGCCGCCCCGCCGCGTGCTTCATCCCGACCACCGACGTCCGTACGACCTTCCAGTTGAACGACTGCGGCGGCCGGAGAAACGACAGCATCAGTTGCTACTCTGAACCGGCGATCAACCGGACCGGGTTCATCGATTACGAGAATCTCACCCGAACCGGGTGCCGGTCGTTGTTCTCCGCCATATCGACGGAGGATTTTCCGGCGGGAAGTCCGCCGTCGGTCTCCTTGGACGTTCAGATGATGAGAATTGAGTGGTGGCTTTTGGGTGATTGCCGGTGCTCCCAAAACGCGAGATGTGTTAACGTTACGACGTCGTTGGAAGGGAATCCGGCGGCGTATCGCTGCCGGTGCCGGGAAGGATTCGCCGGCGATGGATATTCCGGCGGCCTCGGCTGCCGCCGGAATGGTAAGATTTTATAATTCGTTTTCCATTCCATTCTAATTTTCAGTCTACAAATAATATTTTACATTAATTATTTTTTTATAAAAAAGTTTTTTTTGTTTTTCGTCCATTTTTAAGAATTTATATTTATTTTTTAATTCATTATATTTAATATTAAAAATATTTTTTGTATAATTAATTTTTTAATTAATATTCAAATATCAACACAAAATATTATAAAATTAAATAATATAATAATACAGTAATAATTATGAAGGGCGTCTGTCTTTACTTTAGTAGAATTTTCTTCCTGACCTATATTGTATATGATTTTATTTTAACGTAGCTTGAAATTATGGGCGCTATTTTATGCCTAATGGTGCATAAGCTGCCAAAACCAGACCCCACCGCATATTAACATACTTCTTCTATCCGTCTCTAAAATTAAAATATTTAATTGAAACTATTTTTATAAATTTATTTAAAAAATAAAAAAATAATAATGTAATAAAAATAATAATTATTAAATTTAATGAGCATCAATGCATCATCATAGAAAATTATCTAAAATTTGAGTTGACGAAGCAGAAACCCAAAGATGCAGCCGACCGAAGTTCATCTCATTACATTGTGGACGCACCGCAAAAATTATACTTATAGCAGGAGGTAATAAGGCCATCTTCAATTTATAAATTTCATCTATACAGTTTTAATTCTAAATAATTGTTACAGTACTTTTATTTCAACTTTAATTTTATTTTTTATTACTATTCTACAAATATTCAATTTTTTCTATTATTTTAAATAATTTTTTATATTTATAATTTATAGTAATATTTTTTAAAAAATATATAAAAAAATAAAAAATAAATCTAAAAGTTAAACTTAAAAATATAAAAATTTATTATTAACTTTTTTTTTCAAAAAAAACAGAGAAAGGCAATGCCAGAAAATGGTATAGGTCCACGACTCAGTGTTATTAATAGTGTTGGGATGGAGATGATCTATAAGAATCATCTTTTTTTCCAATTCCATTATTAACATTTTTTTAAAAGAAATTCCATATAAATTTTTATTAAACTTATGTGTGTTTTTTTTAAGTTTTTTTTTTCAGAAAAAAATATATCATATAACATATTTATCTTTTTATTTTTATATTAAATAAAAAAAATTATAATTAAAACATTGTATTAATATATATTTACATCAAATTAAATAACTACTAAATTCATGATATTACTATCTTCGTCCGGCTCTAAAAGTCTCATTAATTTTTTGTGTATTTAAATATTAATTATTATATAAAAAATGTGTACAAATTAAGAAATAATTGTTAAAATACTTTCATTAATGTCTTATAATACTAATAGAAGAACATTTGTACAAAAATTTATAAAAATATAAAAATATTCAATTACAGCAAAATTTAAATATGACCCTTATATATCAATATATATATCTTGTAACACAAGACATATTGTTTTTCATATATATATATACACAAACATATATCTTATGCTAAAATCAACAATAATGATAGTGGATGGTTAAAAATAGTGTAATAATATTTTTATCCTTACTTTTGAATATAAAAATAATAATGTAACGTAAAGTAAGATATTTATAGTAAAATATAAAATATTTAATAAAATTATTATTTTTTAATTGGATGTCCCTATATATTAGAACTATTCTTATATACTACTAATTCATATGTATATATATATATATATATATGTAAATCAGGTGTGGCAACGATTACTTTACTCATAGCCTTCTTCACTCATCTCTTTTTCCTTTTTCGGAGCCAATTGAAGCTCCGGAAAGGCGCCAAAAAACTTAAAAAATTACGCGACGCCGCCGGAATATCGATCCCCGTCTACTCCTACAAGCAAATGGCGGAAGCCACCGGAAACTTCTCTGACGAAAAAAGGCTCGGGACCGGCGGTTACGGAACCGTGTACTCGGGAAAGCTCGACCGCGACGAATGGGTCGCGATCAAGAAGATCAAGCGTCGAGACTTTTCCACTATTCAACAAGTTGTCAACGAGATCAAATTAATCTCGACCGTCCATCACCCGAACCTCGTCCGCCTCCTCGGCTGCTGCATCGACGCCGACGAGCAAATCCTCGTCTACGAATTCATGCCCAACGGGACGCTATTGCAGCATCTCCAACGGGAACGCGGCGACGGGCTCCCGTGGCAAGTCCGTCTCGAGATCGCCGTCGAGACGGCGCGAGCCGTCTCGTACCTCCACGACGACGCGGTCCGACCGCCAATTTACCATCGGGACATCAAATCGGGCAACATATTGCTCGATTACAATTTCAAATCGAAAGTCGCCGATTTCGGGCTGTCGAGGGCCGGGAGGATCGACGGGTCCCACGTGTCGACGGCCCCGCAGGGCACGCCGGGATACGGCGATCCGCAATATCATCAGCATTTTCAGCTTTCGGACAAGAGTGACGTGTACAGCTTTGGAGTTGTGCTGGCGGAGATCGTGACGGGGATGAGAGCCGTCGATTTCGGCAGGGCCGGGACCGACGTCAATTTGGCGGCGATGGTGGTTGACCGGATCGGGACGGGGCGGCTCGACGAGATTGTCGATCCTTATATCGTTGGACCGCCAGACGGCGGCGACCATGTTCGGACAATGAAGGCTGTCGGAAAGGTTGCGGAATTGGCTTTTAGGTGCTTAGCTTTTGCGAGGGAGATGAGACCCTCCATGGCTGAAGTTGCTAATGAGCTTGAACAGATTGGGATGAGCCGGTGGGATGATGGTGAGTCGGAAACGACGTCGTATTCGTCGTCGCCGTCGCTGGCGGATGGACTGCATTAGATTGCGTTAATATGTGTATGTATGTATAAAAATACAAAAAGTTTAAAAAATAAATATATTATTATAAAAATTGTTGATGGTAAATTTTTCGAATTTAAGTGAAGGGTGTTTGAGATCATAGATCCTTAGATGGTACATAACATTGCTAAAGCAAAAAGAAAAGTTGAAAAAAATAAGTGGAAAACTAAAATGACGATCCAATGAAAATTTTTCTGAAATTGATGTCGACTGAAATGCCCGCTCTCTGAGGTTGCTTATATACATATCAAACAAAACCGTGCAGAACCAGTTCCATGTCGGTTATCATTGAACCGTTCAAAAAACTGCTTCAACGTTGATAATTGTAAAAATACTGCTTCCACGTCGATAACTGTCAAAAATCGCTTTCACGTCGATTACCTTTGTAACCAACTGGCCAAAAGTTCAAACTCGGATGAAAACTGACCATAGACTCAACCGTCCGACCGACCTGAACCCAACAACCATCTGACCGAATGAGTATGGCCACCACTGGATCGCCATTGGACCTATCCATTCATCTTGGATTGAAACTCTAACCTTATTTGGTGCTCAACAAAAATAAAAAGAAAAAAATATGATTATTTTTGAAAATTTAATTAAAAATTTAAAATAAATAAAAAGATAATATATAAAATTAATTTTATGACAAATTGATAATATAAAGGGATAAACAAAAATGACGATATGAACACAGTAAGTGTGTAAAAAAAGTATTATACTCATTGGATACAACCTTTTGTGTCCTCTTCATTGTAAATGATTGAAGATACCATTAGTAAATAATTAAAAAATTTATTAATAAAGATAATTATAAATTAATATTAAAATAAAAAACTTATAAATTTTAAAAAAGTATTATAAATTTAAAAAGAGTGAAATTAAAATATGTAATTATTATTATTTAAAAAAAAACAAAATATATATAAGACAGACTCAAACGGTAATATGAGACAGAGGAAATAGATTTTTTCAAAAGTGTCGGAATAAACTGAGTAGCCACCTGTTTGAATTGATTTAAAAAAATAAAATAAATAGAAGCTTGAAGCATACGCAAAAGCCAAACGTTGGAATTTATATTTGAATAAATCATTATAAAAACAGTTTTTTTTTTTTAACTTGTTTATATATTATAAATTAAAAATATTTTAAACTGTTAAAAATAAGATATATTAACGTAAATATATTTTTTTATTAAAAATTTCTAATCTATTTTAACTTTTTATCAATTATATTTAAAAATTTTAAATTATCTAACATAGTTGGAAATATATTTAAATTTTATGTGTAAATTATAGTAGTATTGTTACGAGAAAATGAGAAATAAAGCAAATAAAGAGCACAAAAGTTTTACGTGGTTCGATGACGGTATGTCAACCTTTGTCCACGGACAGAAACCGGAGAAATTTTATTATACTGATTCGGAGATTTACAATTATGTCATCCGACTCAGAACCATAACTATCTATTTATAAGCACCCAAAACACCCTAAACCTTAAGCCTATTTGTTATTAATTAGGATAAACCAAAAAGGAACCTGCCAATTGAAAACTAAAAAAAAATAATTAATTTTAAATAAAATTTATTCTACAAATTATATCAAAATTTTATTAACTACATTTAAAATAATCTCTCCCTCCCATAACAAAGTATCAATTTTTTTCATTTTAGTCCGTCTTATGACAAAGTATTCATTTCATTTTTTAGTAAATGTTACTATCTACTTAACATTACAAATACCCTTACAATTTACAATATATTACACAAATATCATTACCTTTATATCACACATATTAATAAGGTTATTTTAGTTATTTTTATTTTATTTTTACTATATCCCAATATAATACTAATATTTCTAAAATTACGTGTAAAAAACAAATGAATATTTACTTATGGGACGGATGGAGTATTAAATTATCTACTATATAATTAAAATTTATTTCTAAAATTTGGTATTATATCTATTAAATTTTAATTTAAATATAATAATATAAATTTTTTATTTTTATTTTTATTTTAGATTATTTATCTATTTATTTTTATTATTATTAAAGATAAAGTAATTGTCTAAACTTAGGTTGTAATCCCGTTTTTGTTTTATTCAATAACATCTGCTTATAAAAAGAAAATTGTTGGGATCCAATCTTCAAAAAAATTTGAATAAAAGTGAATACAATTATAAATAAATATTTTTTTAGAAGTTAAAGATAATTTTCCGAAACTCATCCAAACAAGGGTGTGTTTACACGTGAGATTTTGATTTTGAATTTTGATTTTGAATAATAAATTTTAAAATAAAATAGTTATTTGATGTGATATAAATATATATTGATATACTATTTTGAATGTAAAATTAGATTTGTGTGTGATAAAATGAATAAAAATTAAATATTTGATTAGATATTTTTGGAAAAAAATAAAAATAAAAATAGTAAAATTAAGAGTAAAATTTTACAAGTAAAGAACTTTGTAATTATTGTTATAAAAAATAAATAAATAAATAATCATAATTCTTGATTCTGATGAAGGTGTCAAGAAATGTCTCATTTGTCACGTGGTGTAGTACCAGAAAGATTCTGGATAACCTTAAATAATTAATCCACCCGATTAGAGGTGTGTTTGATTGCCTGTTAAATTTAAATTGAAAATTGGACTGCAGTAAATTTATTTAATTTAATAATTCAAAAAAAATTAAAAATATATTAAATATTTTAAAATTATTCTTTTCTTTCCAAATTTATTGGGATAGTTTGATAGTATAAAATTTTAAAAATATTAATATTATATTAACACTAAATACAATTTAGTATAATAGAACAATTGATACCGATATATATATATATAATAAAATAAAATACTGTAATAAATATGTGACAGAAGGAATAAATCTCAATAATTATTTTATTATTAGAAATAATTATATTTTATATATTTATTTATAATTAATATAAAAAATTTTATAAAAAATAATTTTTTTGAATATATAAATATATTTATTTATTAAAAAAATTAGATAGTCCTATAGTAGTATAATAGTAATATTTTAATTTTAAAGAAAAAATGTGTCAAGTGAACTCTTCACTTACCAAACACGCACCATATTATTTTGTATTAGGTAATATTTTTTCCATGTCACTTAATGTATTCATTATTTTATTTAAGTTTGTCTTATTTATTTTGTAATTTTTTTTTAAAAAAAAATATATATTTTAATCTTATTTTAAATTTTAAATTTATTTTTTAAATTATAATTAAATTAATTATTTTTATTATATAAGTTCATTTAATAATATATTCGTAAATTCTAATGGCTACACTAAAAAAACCATCGTATCAGGATAGGGAGTAACAAAAACAAAGTGCAACTGATGGAGCATAATGTACAACTCGACATCCGCCCAATAGGAGTCCAAAGCTGGTCAAATTAAAATATGAACCACGACTGATCAGGGGGGCCCCGCCCCTCGCCAGCCGGCGACTAGAAACTCGCCGGTTTCAACGACGTCACGGTGACGGCGGCTCCCAACGGCGACGCGCCGACGTCGATCTCAAACGTATCGTAGCGGCGGAAAACCTCCACCAGCAACAACCGTCCGGCGAGCACCACGAAATCTTTTCCGGCGCACTGCTTGTCGTCGACGGTGGGGCTCCGATTCTCCGGCCCGTTCGACCATAGAACATGCTTCAGAAGCTTCTCACCTTCTTCTCCGACGAACCGGTCCGGCACGAACTCCTCCGGCCGGTCGAATATCTTCGGATCCTTCGTCGCGAACGGTTGGAATCCGTACAACAATTCACCCTTTCTGATCTGAAACTTCGCCTCGTGAGATTCGACGACAAAATCGAGCTTAGCTCTGCCGTACTGCGACGGCACCGGCGGCTCCAATCGCAGCGCCTCGTACACCGCCGATTTCACCAGCGGCATGGTTTCGGTAACGCCGGCGGTGACATCTCCGCCGCTCGATTTGAGAGCCGATCGGACTTCCTCCGCCAATTCGAGGTGGAGCTTCTCGCCGGCGCCGGCGATCGATTTGATTAAGTTTGGGAAGAAGATCTTCAATCCGCCGAAGGAATTGAAGCAGGTAGCGAAGATCAAATTGTGGCAAGCTTCGTCGCGAGAGATTCCTAAAGCTTCGGCTTCTTCTAGAACACGGGAGGAATTTTGGTAGAAGAAATCGTACAATCTCTGGTAGCTCTTCCTGAACAACAATGGCGGAAGAGGGAACGTGTGGAAGACAACTTCTTCTAGAAGCCTCGGAAGGCCTAACGTCAAAACTGGGTGAAGGTGAAAAAGCACCCATAAATTGATCAGCTTCGGCGCGTCGGAGCCGAGCCGGGAGCTTCTCGGGTCGGCGCCGAGGAACGACTGGGCTAAGAAATTGAACGCGGCTTGCTCATTCAAGCCGTTGAAGCCGGCTTTCTTTCCGGCGGCTACGTCGTTCTCGATGGAATCAAACAGCTCGGCATAGGCGCGCCGGAATTCAGGAACGACTTGATCGCGCCGATGGGAGAGGAGGAAGAACATGAGCCGCTTCAACTTGGCGTGGCTCGGCTCGGAAGGATCTAGAAACGATAAGATTCGGTAGCCGCCGGTGAGGTCGGTGGACGGCGCGTAGGTTCCGGTGAAGAGATTCTTCTTCTCAACTTTTCCGGCGTCGAACAGCGCCGGATAACTTTTTCCGTCGAGCAAAACGACGACGTTTGATTCGGAAGTAAAAAAAGGCCCCGGAGGCATATTCGTACGGAAAACAGTTGACTGGTATTTCTGAGCCCTCGATTTAAAAAACACTTCCTTTCCCTGATTGTAAAAATAGTCTTGCCGGTCTTTCCATGGTCCGATCACCGGAAAACCTAAGTCGCCGGGGATCCGCCGGAGGGGGAGCTCGGCCGCCGGAGATGGTGGGGGAGATTGTGGTTTCTCCGAAACGGCGGCGGAAATCGCCGGCGATGAAGGCAGTCGCCGCCGTGAGTAGGAAGGGAGCTTTTCCGGCGGTGGTTGGTGGTAGAGGCGGCGGCGCGTGGCGGCCGGGAGGTACAGTAGAGTGGGAGATGATGCGGCGGCGGCGGCGGCGGCGGCGGCAGCCATTGGTGGATGTTTTGAAGAATGATGTGTGAATGAGAAATAAAATGTGAAAAAATATGTGACGAAAATGATGTGAGAACTACAGAGATTTTAAAGTTGAAATAAAAATTGGATTTTGGGGCCCTGCCCCTGCCCCTGCCCAAATTAATAATTGCTCCACTAATTTAAATAAATTGAGAATTGCAAAAAAAATACATATTTGAGGTAATGGAAGTTTGAAAGGAATTGTTTGTTTTGTCACTAATAGATTTTGTTCTATTTATGTTGTGCTTTTTTTATGTTTTACTAATTTACCCGTTTTGCTTTATGTAGTTTTTAACTTTTTATTTAGGGTGTGTTCCTTTTGAAAGTTTTCTTTCAATTTTTATTATTTATTAATTTCTTTTTTTTATATTACATTAAAAATTAATTTTACATTCAAAATATTATATTAATATTTATTCATATCATATTAGCATAAATTTTAACTCAAAATCTAAACCCTCAAACAAATACACGCTTGCCTTGTGAATATATATATATATATATATTAATATATATTTTTTGATTTGAAGAAGTATATGGAATACATTGAGTTAAATTTATCTAGATTTTGTGCATAAACATATGAAATTTGATTTATATTGAGTTTGATTGAAAATTTACCCAAAAAACACTCGATTAGTAAAAACTGCAAATTCACACGTTATCAAAAAATAAAATAAAATAAAATAAATATTTAAATCACAAGTCTCGTAAAAGTTAACTTGATGATGTGAATGTAAATTCGTGACCGTAAATTTAATGAAACTGAAATTAATGAAGTTCTAATATACTTACATATTTTTCTTCCAAAATTTCAATATGTTTGGTAAGATATGTCATCCGAATCAAAAACTAACTTAATTGAGATGACTTTCTCTTGATTGATTTGGTTTACAGATATACTAGCATATAAACCCGTGCGATGCACGGTTTGTATAAATTGTTAAAATAATATTAAATAAATAATTAATTATATTGGCAAATATTTTATAGAATGATATAAATATTTTTAGAACTTTAACAATTCATACTAAATTTACCATGTGACGAATTCTTCTTATTGCATCAATAAAGATATAATTAGTAGTATACATATATAAACACAATTTATAAAAGTGTTAATAAACTCTCGTACTAATTATATATCATTTCCTGTTATATATTTAAAAAATATATTATTATGCTAAAATAATTAACAATGAAATAATATATATGTATATTTATACGTGTAAAATATGTCTTATTTTGTAATTTTTTTAAATAGAATAGTTGACATCGAAAGATAAATTGAAATTGTTTGTGTAATAATTTTAAATTCATACTTACGGTATCGTCTTTTATTGTCTAATTAGTCCTATATCTACACTAAAGATTGTATATAAAATATAACAAAAAAATTACGATGTATTTATAGTTACATAAACATACAATTTTTGTAAAATTAATTTCACTTCACATATTTTGAACATCAATATGGTCAATTCGTCCAATAATACGGAAATACTTAACATTCATATAAAAAAAAAAATTAAAATTATAAAATGAAAAACTTAATTATAAAGTTAGTATATATTGTACAATAATTATGTAACAATTTTTAATATAATTATTATATAAAAAATATATGACATAATTAAATTATTTATCCAAATTAAAACAACTACTAAAGTAAAATCGATAATTTGTTTTAAAAACTAACTTTTATTTTTTTTAAATAAAAAATTAAACATATAATCATTTATCTTAATTTTTTATTACCAATTTAATAAATAAACAAAAAATAATATAATTCAATAATTAGTATTTATAGTCACTAAATATCAACTATAATTATTCAAACTTATTTTTTAAAATAAAATTAGACATTAACTTATAAATAAAAATATTATATTAAAAAAAAACCAAATCATTTAATTTTTTAAAAAAGTTATTCAAATATATATTAATCGAATATGATATACGTGATGGGTAAAAATTAACAATAAATTTACATATTAAATACAAATCAATCAGTCGTCCCCATATATAATCTATTTTCAGTAAATTTATTAAACTTGAATACACTTGACAAATATAAATCAATTCAATTAAATTTATAATATTTTACACGTATGACCCCTCAAAACCCTTTATTTCTATATGTCTTCCTAATTAACAAATATTTTATTTACTTTTAAAATTCTCCATTTTTCTACAAAAATAATTTATGGTAATGATAAATAAATAAATATTTTGATTTGTATTATAAGATTTTATTCTCTAAAAAAAATATTCATATTGTATATATATTTTATTGAGATATAAAATGTTTAAAACATTCAATCACATTTTAAATTTATTTTAATCATTAAATAATAATACTCACTATTTAAATAACTAATTTATACTACATTAATTCTCATGTCCAAACAAAATATTGCATCTTTGTCGGGACGGATGAAGTATATTTTAATACTTATCGAATTCTATATTTTGAAACGCGATAAGATAAAAAATTCATGAAAAAAAGAGCTAATATATGAATAGAAAATAAGATTTAAATAATTTAGAAATTATCAATTACAAATTATTAAGTTTACCAAGAAAAAATATAACTGTAAAATAAATAAGATCTTGCAAAATATAAATAAATATTATATTAAATTATTTATACAATATGTCGAGAGATTTTTAACACAATATAAATACAATATGAGATTTGAATGCTTCCGGAATTGATACTAAAATCAATACAGATCAAATAAAATAATTATAAAATATAATCTATAGAATTAATAATTTTTTTTAACTTGAAAAAAAAAATCAAAACTGTGAACCTTCAATTATTTGTATCTTCATCTTTTTCTTAAATCAAAATAAATATAAAAGTAAAATTTATAAAGAAATATGCAAAAGAAATGAGAATATGAATTTCAAAAAAAAAAAAAAAAATTAAAAAAAATTGATAAAATTTAAAAGTGTATATATTCACTAACATTATAAAAAAATTGTAAAAATTATATAGATTTTAAATACCCATGAAAAACTGTAAAACAAAAGAAAATAAAAAAATCAGAAAAATCTAAAAAATATCATAATAAAATAATTAAAGACTGATCACAAATTCATAATATATAGATAGATTACACTCAATTTGAAATTCACCTAAAATTTAAAATCACACTATGAAAAAATAACATTTTATCAATAAAAAAATAATTCCAAATCAATCAATTAATTAATATAAAAATAATAATTGTAGGCCAAAAGCATTAATAAAAAAGTTTGAAGCAATAATAGCAACAAGTTGCAAGAGCATTTATCACGTGCACAAATTGCAGTGGAACTATTAACTATTCATAAAAAATTTAAAACATAAAAAAGGGGCAAAGGCTGACTAATCCCAACTCCCAACAAACATTTTATTATTATTATTATTATTATTATTATTATTATTATTATATTTTTTATTTTTAGATAAGAATGTCAGAATTTTTAGCTGTAACATGCAGTGAAGTATTTTTACCAATAAATTTAATGCTTAAGCTCAGTTCTTTCCTTGTTTGTTTATTGGACAACACTTTGAAAAATAATAATATTGAATTTGCTATATATCTTTTAATATTTTAAATTTTGTTTGCATGAATCTTTTCAAAAATATTTTTCTTTTAAAAAAAAATTATCGTATCAAATAAAATAATGTTTATTTTAACTATAATACTCACTAAGTCCACTTTTAAAGATTTATACTCCCTTTGTCCCATATAACATGGGCGTATTATTGTAGACACGAAAATTTATGTAAAGTATAATTAATAAATAATTAAGAAGTGTATTAGTAAAAATAATTATTATTTAGTAAAAATAATTATAGATAAGATTAAGATAAGTAAATAGTTTAATTAAAATTAATAAATTATAAAAATTAAAATACGATTAAAATGCATAATTATATTTCCAAAAATAGAAAGGACAAGTTATGTGGGACGGACGAAAATAAAAACTAAGAACAAATTATGTAGGACGGAGGGAGTATATTTTTATTTTCGTCTATTAATGAACTATATACATTTATCTCTTTAGTAATCATCAATCACACTGCCAATTATTATGCTCTTACTTTTATACTTTCTCTTTGTTCCATTTACTTTGTCCGTTCTTTTCATATTTGCTCGTTCACAAAAATTGTCCATTAATTATATATTTTAATCACGTTTTAAAATTTAAAATTTAAATTTTTTGTTTATTTTAACTAAATTATTCAACTTATTTAATCTTAATTTATAATTATTTTTATTATATCATAATTATTTTTACTAATACGCTCATTAATTATTTATTAATTATATAATATCTAAAATTCTATATCCCAACTAAAGCGGCTTGGACGGATGGGGTATTTATTTATAATCATATGATTATATACAATTACTTTTTAGTAAAAGTAATTTTATCTATGCGCAATTACATACTATCAACTACTATTATAATATTAATATTCCTTAATACATATATATTAGAAGAAAAAAAAAATCTAAACAAATTCAGATGACATAAATTTCGGATTATAAAAACGAAAATATAACTAATAGAATACATTAAAAAAAAAAACGGCAAAATTTAATAAAAATGATGAATCAAAACTAAATATTGTATGAGTTTGTTCTTTTATGCATTACATTATTCCTAATAATTTTTCTTTCCATATTTCCAAATAAAAATACATTTGCACGAAACCTTTGAAATTAATAATAATAACTTACATCCATTCTTCAAAAACACTTTCACTTAGGGCCTTGGGGTGTCATTTCATATTTCGTGTCAGGTTGAGTCACGGGGATAACAAAAAATCCGTCAATTTGAACCCGACCTGAACTCAAAATTTGACCTAAAATCCTAGACCCGAATACGACACGAATTTTTTTAGGTTGGGTTTAAATTTATCTGAATTAGTTTCAGATCACCCGAAACCCGAACAAACCCTATACGAAACAAACTTGAAATTAAAAAAAATTAAATTAACCTAAACAAAATTCATTTTTATTTTTATTTTTTAAAATTATTTTATATTTAAAATAATATAAATATTATAAATTAAAATAATAATAATAAAAATGTCAGATCAACCCTAATTACGAAACCCAAAATCTGACCTGATTCTTATATTTAGGGTTATTAGATCAACCTGAAACACGATCCGAACACGACACGAAATTTTATCGACCCATTTTTTGGCAAACCCGAATCTGAAAATTTTCAGATCAAACAAGTTCGATTTTTCGAGTCGGATTTAATTTTGCCACCTACTTTCACTCCCTGGCAACAAAAATTTCAGTATTCTTAACTATGCCAACAACATCAAAATTCTTTTATGTAGTTGGGAGAAGCCCAATTTAACAAAACAGATGTAGGAAGAAGACCAAGCCCAAGTCACAGAATTGCAACCAAACATACTTTCATAACCCATCCAAACAAAACCATCCAACTTCCTTAATTAATTCTTTTTCCAAAACAACTTATTAACCAATTATATAATTTTATTAAATTCAAATTTGATTCACTTAACTATCCCAACTACATAAAAAATTCTTTTAACACATTATCAAACATTAGTAAACAAAACTCCCTTCATTCACAATGAACATAAAGACATCAAAATTTGTGTCTATATTCAGCTCAATTACCATACCAAACAAAGACGAACCACACAAAATTCACATTTTAACTATCCCCAAAACTCTCCAAACTTTCGAAAACACTTTCAAAACATATAGAAAATCACATCTTTAATCCAGAAATGGCTGCCGTGCAAGAGTTCGGTCCGTCCTAAAATTCTCGACAATCCCAGAAACACGACAAAAGACAACAACAACGACAGGGACAGGTCTCAGAGAAGCTGATTAAAAAAAAAACACACATAAACAACGCCTACTTTGGGGGCACGGCGATCTCTGAAACTGAAGACCACAACCACCCCTAAGACAGAGAAAGGAATCGGAGCATGTTCAACTCTCCAAATTCCATTTCACCTCTGACCAATCGCAACAGTCGACAACTCCCATGAAACAAAACAAACAACACACGTCCATATGTGCGGCCTGGGGCGCTCCCGGCCCCACGCGCGCACCGTGTTGATATTTCCTCGTGATAAAAGTTGTCCCAATGACCAAAAGCCAGCAACAAGATAAAAAGGGTTGTATTCAATAACCACATTCTCATCTACCACGCACTTTCTCTCCCCTCCTTTCCCCTCTCTCTCTCTACATATATATACATATGTGCTTTCCACCATCATTTGAATTTCAGACAAGTGTCAAGATTTTTCAGACACCAACAATGGCTGCCACAGCCAGAATCCTAAGAATGTCTAACCCTCTTGCCCACAGCCTGTCTCATGAAGCTTTCTCAAGCTCCACAACTACAGCAGCTGTCTCGAGGGCAAGGATAATCATGTGTCTGAACAAGGAACGGCTGAGCATCACAACTCGAGCCCACCAGGAGCCGGCTGGTGGAACTTCAAGAAGCGTGCTCGTTAAGGAGCCTGAAATAGCTAAAAGGGTGGATTTAGGGGTGCTATTAAGATATGTAGCTGATATAATATTGTCCCCTACAATGAATTTTGTTAGGAAGCATAGGCCATGGAGATTCAACATTCAGATGATAATGGAGAAGGTAGATAGGGAAATTATTGGATCATCTAATCATATTGATTTTTCATCTTCTCACTAATCTTGAAAGAAAGAGATTCTATGGCTAAAGTTTAATTTTTTTAATTGTAGGGTATTATAGACTGCAGATTCTTTACATTGCTAGCAGTTGCTGGATCTTTGGTGGGATCTGTACTTTGTTTTGTTGAGGTAATATTTATTGATGCTACTATTAATTATTAATAATTCTTCTCCTCAACTAGTAATAAAATGTTGCATAGTTTCTATGCTTAAGGTTTCGACAAACTAACTAGAGTTTATATTCGTATGTTATGAGGAACGAGCTGAAAAGCTTGTTTAACTTTGGTTTGTAGATATAGTTTTCTTTTTCATTTTTCATTAAGGAATCTATCTTAACTTTGATTTTTCTAGTTTTAGGTTCAACTTTAAACTAGACTCGACTCATTACTTACACGTCTAAAGTAACTAATATTACAAAAAGATGTTACTCTAAAGTGAAATGATTGTTCTACTCTTTTAACGAATACTATTGAATATTTGCGGATAAAAAATGCGCTAGTAACAAACTGAAGATCAAATTCAAGTTCGGATAATTTAACTTATCAAATAAACCTTTCGTTAAACTTGAACGAAGGGAGACTAAACTTGCAAACAGGTAGTTCGTATTACAGCACAATTTATCTCATAAAAACTGTTATTACAGGGATGTGTATTGACACTGGGATCATATTTTCACTGCTTTCATTCAATTTCTCAAATGTCAGAACCAGTTAATGTGGTGCCGACATTAATCGAAGCTATTGGTATACAATATCTATGCCTCCTTCCATCTCTTTCCTTTAATTTTTTTATCCCACAATTAAATCATGTAACAAAAAATGTCTACACTAAGGTCTAAAAGCAAATATATTTTCTGACAGATATGTTCCTGGTGGGATCAGCAATGTTCACGTTCGGGATGGCTTTACATGTCATGTTTGTGGGGCAACAACATTTTAAAGGGACAGGATCAACATTGTCGAGGAACTTCAACCCCCTAGTATGTCTTGAATACACTAAACTAACTGAGTAAATGATTCGTTTTGAAGATCATAATGCAAGTTTGTACTGATTAGTACGACTACTATCTACTTAACAATGGATTTTTTTCAGAAACTTCGATCAATGATAGGAATGGAAACACCAATGCAAGCTAAGTCAAAAATAGGACATGCTGTGATAATGATTCTTCAAGAACAAGTGCTGGATAAGCTCAAGAGCGTACCTGTAACTAACGCGGTGGATCTCGCCTGCTTTGCTGGTGCCGTGTTCCTCTCCTCTGCTTCATTATTCATCCTCTCCAGGAATGTTGCTGCTCGTGTCGAGACAAAAATCTAGACAACAATGCATGACAAGTAGTACTACAGCATATCATAGTTTCAACCATAGAAAACACAGGAGGGTAACCACACATATTTTGTTCTTTCATTGCTATTCTTAAAATGTAACTATCCAACCCTCTCAAGGGGATATTTAACTGATTTAGAAATATAGAGCAAAAGAACAATATAATGTAATATGTATTGTATATAAAAATAGATTTAAATTAATAACATTATCTAGTATGGATTCAATAAAATTAAGAGCTACCTGTTGCCATAAATCAACATGCTGGATTAGGTAGTCTAATGGTGAATAAATCACAGGGAATTTCATCGTAAAACAGACAGAAAAAGTATACAATGATCGTCAAAGGAAAGAATAAAAATCATAGATTTACCTAGTCCTGCAGTAATGTCACTTTGAGAATATGATTGTAAGCAATTTACAGGTGGGAGGGGTGGGGGGGGGGGGGGGGTGGTAAAAGTGTTACTTCCAAGAACCTATTCAGGACACTATATGTTTCTGAAAAAAAAAATTACATGAACCAGTAGAGAATGATGCACAAAATGCTTCGGGTTGCTAGCATAATATCTGCTCTGATAGTGACCGAATATGGGAGTGATCAAGAGCCTTTTTTTTTCATTTACACGCACAATGAGGTTGATCAAACACGGGCTGGAGAGGCAAGGCCTGTTCTGCAGCATTTTGCTTGTGAACTCAATAATCGGATTCAAGTTAGGAAGCTAAGCATTGCTTTTAACACAATACCAGGGAAATCAATTTGTCAGAGGCTTTGCCTTTCGTATATGACCCATACTATTGACAAGATCCTTTCTGACGCAGACAGGGAACATGTTGATCCGCTTTAACTCTTTGAGCCGCCAGAGAACATATGGAAAACTTAGTTGATCTCGTGAAGTGAAGCGGACAACCTCATTGAACCACAGGCACATGAACAAATTCACCACTGGAGTGTGCTTTTTCACAATTATAGAAGCCTCATTGAGAGCTGCATGAATATAATAGAACCTTATCCATATAGTCTCACAGCTTTCTTTGAAACAGAAGATATTCTTCGCTTTTTCGGAAGTTGAAAGGACTTACAAAAATCTTAAATTATGGGGTTTTGTGACTATATGACATTTGCAAAGATTTCATCGATGAGTGTACTTCTGATATTCTTGCAATTTAGAGTTCCTATAATAACCAAAACAATTCAAAGAGTTGCATGACATATAAGAATACCTTTATTCCCATTGAACCTCTTATCCGTTGGGAGGCCATCTTTCTGATATTGAGTAATTTGGACGTCAACCTCCTCTGGAGTGGCCTTATTTTTCTTGACAACAGCCTTTGCTTCATCATAGACACTACTGCGAGCTCCATGCTCAGAGATAGCAAGTTCATCGTTGGAACGCCAAAGTAAGGCCTCCAGCACACCAAGAGGATCTCTCCTGAATTGGGATTTTGAATCAACCCATATAGAATATCTAGCATTTGGAAAAAGGCGGTGGGGAAGCATCTGGCATTAAAAAAATACAAGTCTCAGTTACAAACAAAAGCCAAACAACTTTAAATGCTATTGCAAGCACCCAACATAAAACAACAAAACATTTGGTTGAATTTGAAAACATAAATTACTCGGCTGCTATGTTCTTCAACCCATTCCATGAAGAAAACCAAATGAGACATTCCTCCTTAACATGGGTATTATAGTGAAAATGACAGATGTTTATCCTCCGGCGTTGCACTTAATTTAGCCTTAATTAACGTGCAGATTCTTTGGATAGTGATGCTAGAATCTAGGACAGTGGTGCAAGCAGGTGATGGTTGAGTAAAAGGAAAACTTAGGTATTAGATAAAATATTTAGAATCCACAGAGTTCACCAATGCAACTTCGCCTACGACCTAACTGTTCTGTGTTAGTTAATAAAGTAATGGAAGTGTAAAAGCCATAAATGAGAAGAACCCAAGAGGTACATACCTTTGGTATTTTCCCATTCAATCTTTGATCGCTAAAAGGTAAATCCCTAACTATTACAATGCGCCACTTTCCAACAAAATGGTTGTCATCAACTTTGTTCCCTTCTGCTTCTTGCGTTGCAAGTGTAATTTCATCCCAGAATGCCACAAAGCAAACCTACATCCAATTAGTGCCACACTCATATTATTAACACATGAAAATACTTATGGATAGATATAAATATGTGTGTATAACATTATACGTCCTCTTCAATATATTCCACAAGAATGATAACCTTTTGACTTGACGTGTCCGACATTCCTATAGGTTGATACAGATCATCTCCACCACCGAATGCGCAGGTAGAAACCACAACTTTGCAGGTACTCATGTAGCTTTTATCGTCGGAAGATATCCTAAAACCACCCTTTTCACTGTAGAACCCACAGGGGACCTCAAGTCTTTCAGAAATCTGAGACAGTTTCAGAGTTTCGAGGTAACATGTTTAACTAAAGTGAGATTTAAGTAATAGCCAACAGATTTTCCATAAGATCTAAAGTCGTATGGATTGTCATCAGTATGCTTCCCCACCACCTCTGATACTAATCAATCATCCTTTAGAACAATCAAATACACTGCAACTAAAGCTTGAGATTTTATATAACTGAAAGCATGAAAATAGTTAGTATTACCTTAAAACTTTCTTCTCTCTGCTCAAGAGTTTGGTTTCCAGTGAACAAATTAAATCTTGTACTGTTCGAATATGGAGGTAAGTTAAGCTTCCCTTCCTCACCAACTCTATAAGGCTCCATCGCATATACCAATTCTTTTATTGGACTTGAAGTTTCCTCATCATTTGGAATTTCTAATCGTTCAAGTTCTTCAAGTGGTAGGAGCTTCAAGCAAGCTGAAATCATTAACGAACAAGTCGCCATTGCAAAAATTATCCATAGATACTCTAGAAGCTGAAATCATTCAAAACTGATGCCAACAAAATCACACAGTAAGACGTGACACCAGAAAGGAATTACGAAAGTGAAGCTCGCATCAATCAATTTCCCCAAAAATTCAACAATTCCCATTCTTCCTACACACTCAGGAGGCCTGATTTTAGTTAAAACAGTAATACAGTAACAGAGAGATAGAACTCACGTTCTCTAACGCCCCTGACAACGCGAGTAATTGGATCCAGCTTGTTCAAGTTCCCATGGGGCTTAGCTTTACTCTGCTGAGAACCGATGGTCGCCGACTTCTTCACCGGCGACGGAATCCGACTCTCGCCGCCTCCGATGTTGAAATACTCGTAGGCTAAGAGAGCGAATGCAGCGACGAGGAGCAAAGCGGGCCACCAGCGCAGAAGTTTGGTAAGAACTTTTCGGGTGAAGTCCGACTTGCCCCTCGGGCCGGATTTCCGACGCTTACGGCGGTTCCGAAGGCGGATACGGTTAGGAGGGTCCTCCAGGTCGTCGTCGGAGACGGAGATCGTTACGCCGTTGTTCGACATTGAAGAAGCCGTCGGTTTCGCCAATCGCCGGAATCGAGATCAAAGGGCAATGCTGGTAACCCTTAACATTTTGGCCGCAATACGACGTCGTGTCAATCGCGTTGGATCTATCGGTCCACTCTCTAAACCAAATTCAAGTTTTGAATACAATATTTTTCAAATAAATTATATATTATTCCCTTTTAATTTAATAAAAATTGTATAAAAAATTTATTGTGTAAAAATTTATTGTGTTAATGTAAAGTTTGAACGAAATATTTTATTTGTTCAAAACTATATCGAGTTTTAAATAAAGACCTAAATTAGCCAAATTTTACATAAATAAAATATTAATCATTCGTTTTATAATTTTTGAAGACAAATTATTATTTAATTTTTATAAAAATAAATTATTGATCAATTATTTATTTATTTATTTCATTAAAAAAATCATTTACCATATTTTACTTTTTTTATCAGTATAAAACATATTTAATTTAGGTCATTATTTAGAACCAAACATGAGTTTTGGATAAAAAATTATTTTTTTAATGTAAACGTTACATTAACATAAGAGAGATTTCACACAATAAATAAAATAAAATAAAGTATTTTGTGTATTTTACTAAAATGCACCCATTTTTCATGTTCACTTCTTTGATTAAAATATTTGTTATATATATTTATAATTCAACCAGAATATTTTTATAATTATTTAAAAATAATCAAAATTTAATAATTTAAGAAATAATTAAAAAAAAATTAATAATTCAATATCTAACTAATTAATTTACACTCTCTTTCTTTCCCGTCATCTTTATTTTTTTTTTCAACTTAGTAAAAAATTTCATATATATTTATATTTATATTAAAATTATTTATATTTAAAATTAAATTTTTAGAAAAATATATCAATACATATATCATGTAAAGGGAATAAAATTTTATTTAATACAAAAATGTAAAATCTATATATATATAAAAAAAAACAATTATAATAAATATATAGATAAAAAAGAAAAGAGAGAAACTTCATGGAATCTCTGCACATATGGCCCGGAGATTTTTGAAATTTTTTATATTTATGGCTGATGAGGCGCCTAAGTGGAGTTTAGGTAATTAAGTTGAATTAATTAATAATAATAATTAGTTAAAATATTATTCCCTCCGTGTAGGTAATATGAGATTATTACTGTAAATACGTGAATTTAGGTAAAATATAATTAGTAAGTAATTAAAAAATATATTAGTAAAAATAATTATAAATTAAGATTAAAATAACTAAATAGTTTAATTAAGATTAAAAAAATGAAGAAATTACAAATTACGTGGTACAAACGAAAATAGAAAATAGAGACAAATTATGTGTGACGGAAGAAGTATTTTACTACTATTATTTTTTATGTAATTAGTAATATTAATAGTTTTAAAATAAATTGAATATATATAACTAAAAAAATTAAATATATATTTAAAATTTTAAAAATTATATCGCAATAAAAATATATGCAATGTAGATATTTTGAAGAATGAAGTTTTCTATAATATAAATAAATAAAAAATATTTTTATTTATTTAAAATTAATGATATACATTAATTTTATAGAAGATGTGAAATTTTAAATGTAGATAAAAATATTTATTTTTCTTATGAAATATATAGAAATAAAAGAGTTTTGAGTGAGTTATTGAATATGATATACGTAATTAATTAATTAAAGTAATTTATATTTATTAAATATATTTGAATTTAATAATAAAAAAAATTCAATTGTTATAAAACAAGAAAAATAAAAACAGTGTTAATTATTATGCTGAGAGAGAGTATAAATATATCATAACCTTAATTATTTCAATATTAGTAGTAATATTTTTACCATCATCACATAGTAGCCGCAAAGTCGGACATAGTGAGCCGTCCAACTCTGGGAACATTGTCCGTACGCCTGAGGCCCAAAGTAAGGGACACGTCGCCAGGAGCCCGAGTCCCGGGACTCCCCACAAAACTCTCCGGCGGCCGTCTTCTCCGGCGCGCCACCGGCGGTGGGATTCCCCGCTTGAAAATGACGTCTTCTGAAGCGTCATTTTCCGGTGGTTCTGATAAAGAACAACTTGGAGAGTGTGCCGCCGCAGTAGAAATACTAATACTATTATTACAGCAACCAGACCCTTCTTCGTCTCCGTGTCCGTCTTCATCTTGTGCATCATTGTGTTGTACCTCGGCGTGCAACTCCTGCTGGTACATTTCTTCCACCATGGGCTTCCAGAGACGAACCCTAGCATTTATGAACCAATTGGACACCTGCAGTAAAGAAGAAGAAGAAGACTATTATTGGCACCTACCACAACTAAGGGTTTGTTTGTTTCGGACTTTTTTTTTTCAATTTTTAAGAAATTTTAGAATGTTCTATTTGTAAACTAATTTATGTTAACTATATATAAATATATATTATTTGTTTTTATTATACCCATCCCATAAAAAAAATATTATTTTCTATTTTTGTCCGTACGAGAGCAAGGTATTATTTCCTAATTTAATTTAGTAACTCTCCTACCTACCTAACAATCTTACAATATATTACACAAATATCATTATTTTTATAACACATCATATTAATAGGAACATTTTTTTTTTTACTATAAACTAATATAATAATAATATTAAAAATTCGGTGCTCTTTTTATGGGACAGAGGGAATATAAAATTTTATTTAAAACAAAGAAATTATACTCATGTAGAGGGAATATAAAATTTTATTTAAAACAAAGAAATTATACTCATGTTGAGTATATTTTATTTTATTCAAAATGTATTTTAAATTTATTTTTAGCAAAATTGCTTGTAACAAATTTATAATTTGAAAGTTTTGTAATATATTTTCATATGATTTAAAAATTGGATGCACAAATTTTTTAGCATTTTAAAAAGTATTGCATAAATTTTTTTTAAAATTGTGTGAAATTCCATCATGTTTTAAAAAATATTGCATGCAATATTTTTTAAAATAAAAAAAATTTGATCCAATTTTTATCAAAAAATAAAAAATAAAAAAATGCATATTTTTTGATCGACAAGTGAGTTGAGTTATAAGTATTTTTACTTTTATTTGTAATCAAATACTTTTTCCTATGTTTAAATATTTGAGCAACCAAGTTTTAATAAAAATAATTGATAATAATTATTTTATTTTATTTTATTTAAAAAAAAAAACCATTTTGTAAATATAACATCATAAATTAATTTATAATTAAATAATATTCTATTCCTCAATAATAAAATCGAAGTTCCCACTTACAATCAAAACCAAATAATTTTTCAAATGAATTAAATTCATGATCACATATTTTTCATTTAAGCAATCAAGAGCATTTTTAGAATCCATGAAGTATCACTTTCAACCAATATTCATTTTGATTTCATAGACAAAACAAAATATGGCAAAATGGTAAATTCACCCATTTACTAATCAATTTATTATTCTTATTTTATATACTCCCTTCGTCCCATAACTAGATATCCATTTGCTTTTTACATATAGTTTTAGAAATATTAGTATTATATTAGAATGTAGCAGGAATAAAGTGGAAATAACTAAAATAACATTATTAGTATATGTGATATAAAAGTAATGACATTTGTATAATATATTATAAGTTGTAAAGGTATTTGTAATATTAGGTAGATAGTACAGTTACTAAAAAAAAATAGATACTTTGTTATGGGACGGACTAAAATGAAAAAATTGATACTTTGTTATGAGACGGAGGAAGTACTAATTTTTATCTTCTAGTTTAACAAATAAGCTTTATGAAGCCACAAATAATTGAACAAATATTCAGATTATTAACCATAAGAACACTTACATAATTAAGGTTCAGTTTCATATATTTTTTTAAATAATCTTATAGACACTATTTCTTTAGGGTGTCTTTGTTCGGGAGACTTTCTCAAATTTCGATTATTTATCAATTTTTTTTTCAAAAATATCAAATCAAACATCTATTTTCAATTTTTGTATTATACTCAAAATTAATGTTACATTCAAAACATCACATCAACACATATTTATATCATACCATAAAACTATTCCCATTCAGATATTTTACTGTTCAAATCCAAACTCAAAATTCAAATCCCAAACCTTAATGTATTACTCTTTTTTTATATTTTTTGTATGATGAAAATATGATTTTCTATCTCTATTTTTTTGCAGACGAAAGATTTTTGCAATATTTTTAAAAATATAAGAGAGGTATTATGCAATTTTAAAATTAGAAAAAATTTATGCTGAATTTTGAAATATGCCGTCTATTTATATTTCTTGTGTTATATGTCAAAAATTCGCGTGCCATCAAATAATGCTAAATAGATTTATTCAGCATTGTAGCCGCTGTTATTATAAAACTTTTCAAAATTTTACAAATATTTTAAAAATATATCTGAATAAAATCTTTAATTCCCCTAAATTTCTTTATATAGATAAATCTAGGAAGATGAAATTAATTACCTGATATTTGGACAAGCCAGTCTGCCGGGACAGCACGTGTTTGTCTGTTTCAGTCGGATATCTGCAACACAATTCATTACATAGATATACAAACACATGCGTGCTGCCTAATTATTTTGAAATTTATTTTTAATTTTTATTATATCATATTAAATATTTATTCACTTTCATAAAATATCAGTATTTTTTTATATCACCGACACATTCTTTGTATTTCACGTAATAATAAAAAAAAAAGAAAAAAAAAACAAATGCTTACATCTGTCGTCCAAATTTTTATTTTTGTTTTTTTAGTGAAAAAAATATTATTTTCTATTTTTTCTTTATCCTAAAAATGAAAACTTTCTATTTCTTTACCTATTTTTCTTGAAATATCAAATGAACAAACAATTGAATGACTAAATATATATATATATCTTTAAAAGAGAGAGATAGAGATAGAAAATTATACGGAGAGAGGAAATGCTCGAAAAGCCACGCTCGCAAAACGTCGACCGATCTCTCGGGCAATCCTCGATGAGGCCTCCAAGCCTCGTTGCCCTCTATCAATGCCAAATTTTGATTCTCAAGGGCTCTAAGCTGTCGAAATTTTTTCTCGACAGTTTTGAGCCGCGGCGTCTCTCCTTTTGTCAATCCAAAAAAGTCGCGATCTTTTTCACCGAGCGCCTCGGCGCATGTCTTAACCTCCCTCATTATTGCATCCTTAATTCCTCGGAAATGTCGTGACATCGCCTTTCTTGCCAGCCCGGTGTACGGCGCGGCGATGCCGCCGGCGATGGATTCGAAAGAATGCATCATTTCTTGCATCTGCTGACAGTATCTTAAGTATCTTGCATCCACCTGTAGGAATAATTTAAGAATTTAATAAATTGTTGCAATAAAATAAAAATTGGAAAAAAAAAAAAAAAAAAGAAAGAATTGCATATGGAGTGTAATTATTGTATGTACTAACACATGCCTTGCACTAGTTCATTAGATGCCTAATGTAATTCAGCTTTTTAATTATATACATTCATTCGGTTACACGACTAAAATGATAAAAATAATACTTATACAAACTAATAATAATATATTTTATTCATTACGTAAATTCTTTAAGAGTTATTTTCTGTATAAAGTTCGTCACTAGATGATCATTAAAACGACAATGTATGGGGTATATGATTATTTTCGATCAATTAAAGGGCTAAAATAATCAAAACACTACTTACAAGTTCAACATTATCTTTCTATATAGGCAAAATTATTTATTTCCTCACTTATAATTTAAAAAATTTTACAATTTTTTTCAAATTTTTCATTGTATTTTAAAAAATATTGTACAGAATTTTCAAACACATAAACTTAATGAAGTTATGAAAGCTATTGCTATTCAAACACTACGGATCGAAAAATTTTGTAATAATTTTGAAAACATTTAATAAATATTGTACGGTTTCAAATCACAATAAGTTATCGAGAACTTTCAAAACTACAAGTGAATTATAAATAATTAAGCCATATATATATATATATCAGAAGCAGCTTTTTTCTTTTTCTTCTTACAGCAAAAGCCTGAAGTGTAAGAGCAAAAACCAGATGTGTTTCTTCTTGTAATCCACCATTATCATTAATCCTAAAAACATATAAAGCTGCAGATTTCAATATTAACAAATCATCATAAAATGGTCCCCAACTGGCACAGATTATATATATATAATCTTATCAAAGAACATCAAGAACAGCAAGAAAGCAGTGTTTGTAATTTAATTATTGTTTAGTATTCTTTAAGTTCAGCTCAGATCTACATCCTATAATGGAGGCATGTCTGTCTTCCTTCGACATGTGCCCCCAAACTCCACCCTGTCTCTACCTTAACAACAACGTTAATACATACATATATATATATATATCTAGAGAGAGAGATAGAGATAGAGATAGAGAGAGAGAGATAGAGATAGAGATAGAGAGAGAGAGATAGAGATAGAGAGAGAGAGAGAGAGAGAGAGAGAGAGAGAGAGAGAGAGAGAGAGAAAGACCTCTTGAAGCATTGACAGGAGCTTAATTTTTCTTCTTTGGTAGTTAACCCTTTCTGAAGAAGATAAAGGGTTGGGATTCTTTGATCCATACCAATTTGGGGAATTAGGGTTTCTGATTAATCTCGGATTCTTCGAGACCTCCTTCTCAATTACGCCACAGAATTCTTGCAGCAGTTCCTGAGCACCCTTCAAGTACCTCGAATTCCTCAATCTCGTCGCGGATTCAACGTACGGATTGTAAACAAGATTGTCTGATTCTGAACCCCTTATCAGTTGTCCGCCATTGAAGCACACCTCCATGTTCCCTTCCAGTCCCCTTGAAGACGACGACAGTGACAACGAAAGACCTTGTCCATGCCTCACCGGATCACCACCGCCGCCGCCGCCATTAACGAACCAGGTGAACTGTGAAGGAGTTTCAGAAGAACGATGAAAGGGAACCTAAATTAAATCATTACATGAGATCTGAATTATTTCTGTGCCCTAAATCGACAATTCCCCAAAACTTTAATTCACCTGCAGCTGCTGTTTCTGCGACCACCGCCGGAAACTTGCCTGGATCTGATCATCTAACACATCTTCTCCCCCTTTCCGCCATGGCGAGCTGAACGTCATGATCTCCGTCAGCATCCCGCCGCCGTCGTACGCCGCCTCCGGCGGTGGCTCCACCCCCTGCTCTCCAACCATATTATATCTTCTCGACATAAATTTGCAAAAAATAAAATCTGGAGATCTACTGTTAATTTCAAGCCCCAAAATTAGAAACCCCTAATTTTTTTTTTCTAGGGTTTTTCTCCAGAATTCGACGAATTGCAGCCCGCAATTTCCTGGTCATCAAAATAATGTCACAATCAATTCATTAAAAAAGAAAACACTAACACGTAAAGGTCAGTGATCACTCATCGATCTTCCTTCCTCGAAAGAAACCATATATTTTTAGGTTTTGAACATTGATAATTCAGAAAGCAACTAACCTGGGGAAGAACATAAAAATCCAAATTGGAATATGATTGAAGTGAAGAGCAATCTCGATTTCAATTAATTAGGGCTCTTTGATATTGATGCATTGAATTAAGGGAATAATATATAGGGACAGTTGCAGGGAGGCGACAATGGCAGCCATTAGAGATAATGAAAGGAGAGAAAGAGAAAGAAAGAAAGGTCACACTCAACTCTAACTCAACTCAATTCTCCACTGCACTTTCACCAAACTTTGTATTTTTAAACTTATCATTTGCAACCTTTTTTAAGCTTTTTTAGACACAAAGCTGGGCTATTAGGGAAAAGTTATACATGCACATCAATATATATATATATATTGGCTCATTCCCACCACAAGTGATACTATTTTCATTTTTGTGTAACCCGTAACCATTGATACTTTTCTATTTTTAGTAAAAATTATTAAACCAAAACATATTTAATAAATATAAATTATCTTAATTAATTACATAATATACAACATCATAAATGACAAATGACGTAGGACCCACTCAAAACTTCTTTATTTCTACCTCTCTCTCCTCAAAAATATAAATATTTTTATTTTTATCTATATTTAAAACTACCTTTTATAAAATTGATTTATGTTAATTATAAATAAACAAAAATATTTTTTCATTTACCTGTATTATAGAAGATTTTTTTCTCTACAAAATAATATTCATATTGCATATATCTTTTAATTGCCATATAATTTTTAAATATTTAAACATATATTTTAATTTTTTTAATCATATATATTAAATTTACTTTAAAACTATAAATATTACTTAATTATACAAAAAAAATAATATAATAAAGTCATAACTAATTATTAGTAACTAATTAAATATTCTTACCTTAAATATTATGTTTTTAATTAAATGGTTGAATTCCGGGTGGGACCGGAGAATATATATATATATAGAGAGAGAGAGAGAGAGAGAGAGGATTGTTAATTAGCAAATTCTGCAAATGGTATTTTGAATCCCTTTCTGTAAGAATATTTCAGAGTATACTAAATACAGTAAATCCAGCATATTGGTTGATTAGTGGGCTTTTAATATATATATATATATATAATTATGGTTTGCTGATTGAAACTAATTAATACTTGACACATAAAAATATACTTCCTCTGTCCACACATAAAGTAAATATTTATTTTTGGCACTAATTATAGTGAATAGTTAAAAGTAATATAATGACATTTTTGTCCTTACTTTTTGGTGTAAAAGTAATGATGCGATGTAAAGTAAGGGTATTTGTGGAAAAAAGTGAGGTATTTAATAAAATATTTACTTTGTAATTTGACGCCCTAAAATAGAAATATGTATACTTTCTTACTGGACGGATGGAGTAATATATAAGTCCTAATTTATGAGTCCCAATTCAATGTATTCGAGACCTAAGTTTGTAACACCATGTTAAATTATTTAAATTACTAATCTATCCTAAAAATTTAAATTATTAGGAATATATATGTGTTACTCCCTCCGTCCCATATCTATCTATTCATTTGTTTTTGTACGAAATTTTAAAAATATTAGTATTATATTGAGATATGGTAGAAATAAAAATAAAATGACATATATGCAGTGGCGGAATTAGAATCCAATTAAAGGTGGGGCTATTTTTTTAAACTAACAAAATACTTTCTCGGTCTCGAAACAATAAGGACATTTGAGTTCGGCTCGGAATTTAAAAAATAATAATACTCTCTCCGTCCTATTGGAAGGATGACATTTGCTTTTTGCACGTAGATTTTTTAATATTAGTATTATATTTTATTGTAGTAAAAAAGACAAAAATACCCTTATTAGTACGGTGTAATATAAAAGTAATGACATTTGTGTAATATATTATAAGTTGAAAAGATATTTATTATGTTAGGTAGATAGTACACTTACTAAATTAGGAAATAGTAACCTTGTTTTGGGACGGACGCAATAGAAAATTGTAACCTTTCAATGGGACTGAGGGAGTATTATGTTTAAAATGAATATGAAATATATAGTAAAAAAATTAAAATATCATTAATAGTGTATTTGCCTATAAAGTGATGACATTTATATAAAAATAATAAAAAATATATAAATTATTTTATGATAATATGATTATTTATAAAAATGAAATTATTATTTTGAGACGGAAAAAAGTAAAAAAATAAATTATTATTTTAAGATGGAAGAAATATATTTTATATGTCTATTTATTGTCCAACTAATTTTATCTTTCTAATTGTTATATTTTAAAAATATTAAAAAATAACAATTACAATAGTATTATTTACTATATATATTGTAAAAATTCATTTTTAAATTTTTATAAAATAAAAAATAGTAATACATATTTATTAGAAAAAAATCTATAATTAAAATTATTATTAATATTATTATTTATTCCAATCATTTTTTCTATGCTTTTATATATATATATATATATTCAAAAATATAATTAAAATTATTATTAATATTATTATTTATTTCAATCATTTTTTCTATGCTTTTATATATATATATTTAAAAATATATAAAAATAAGTAAATAAATTAAAGGAGGGTAGGGTGGGGCAAGGGCCCTTGTCCCTTGATAGATCCACCCTGAATATATGTATTGTATGATATAAAAATAATGACATTTGCGTAATATATTATAAATTGAAAAGATATTTGTAATATTAAATAGATTGTACAGCTTCTTGAAAAAAATGAATACTTTGTTATGAAACAAACTAAAATAAAAAAATAGATAGATTGTTAAGAGACGAATGTAATATTTATTTATTTATCTACAAATTGAAGTCCACCAACATATAAGATGTTTTTGCTCTTCAAAGTACAAAGAAAATAAATATTTCTTATAAAAATTAAATGTATTTTAGTATCTTGACACAATTATTTTTATTATAATTTTTTTTAAAAAAAATAACATTTGAATAAAATAAACGAAAATGACAAAAATGATACAAAAATAATAGACAATACATGTTATATATATATATATATTGATTAATAGCATGTGCTTTCTGTTATGCTCCCTCCGTCCCAATACAATAGTTTTGTTTACTATTTTTGTTCGTTCCAAAACAATAGTCTTATTTTCATAAATAATCATATCATCATAAAACTATTCTTATTTTTTCATTTTTATTACACAATTGCCACTACTTTTTACACTAATACACTCACAAAGACAAAAAAGTCTTTTATCTATAATTTTTACCGACTACCAATATAATATCAATATTCCTTGAATCTCGTATTCAAACCAATTAAGACTATATTTATGGTACGGAGGAGAGAGTATTTTATCTACATTGTATTAATATACATTATATGTTATTGATAAATGTCATTGTCAACTTTTATGTTATATATATATATTATATAAATATATACATTGTGTTGTTATTTTATATATGTATGTATATTTTCTTGGTTGTATTTTGTATTATTGTAATTAACAATAATTATATTATGTTAATATATTGCTTTAATTACGTTAAGATTATTAAAGTTAGTTTAAATTTTTTAATTTAATTTAATTGTTTTTTTTTTGTGATACTATTTACTCTTTATATTTTTCAATAAAAATATATTATTTTTCTCACAAAATAGATCAAAATACTATTTAAATATATAAGAAATCCAATTATCATTATATTTTAATTCAATTTCAAATCACAATATAACAAATTCAAATTTTTAATAGAAAAAATAATTTTAACTTGATCTATACTTGTTCTTTTATCCAAAAATTCTCAATATATTTTTTCAAAAAAGTTAATATACTATATACACTTATTATTTTTATATTACCTATACAATTTTTTATATTCCATATAATTTTATTTTTTTTTTCAAACCATAACATATTTTTTTCTGAAAATTAATTTAATATATTGAATATTCAACATAAAAAAATTTAAACAAACATTTCAATTTTTATTTTATTTTTCATCAAAATAATTCATATTGAAAAGATATGTCAACGCAGGTACACTGATACTCCATCCGTCCCGGTTACGGTCTCTTCTCTACGGTAGACATGAAAATTTAGCAGGAACATAATTAGTAAATAATTAAAAATATGTTAATAAATATAATTATTATATAATAAAAAATATTGTTAAAAAAATTAAAATTAAAATAACTAATTAGTTTAATTAAAAATTTAAAAATTATAAATAAAAAAAAATAAAATATGATTTTTTTCTAAAAAAAAAAAGTAATAAAATATGTGAGACAGACGAAAATGAAAAGATGGATACGGTAATATATGTTTAAATCAATTATGATATGTATTATTTGGATTATTGTTGTTATAGTTGTTCCTTTAATATGCAAGATTTATATTATGGGTGTGTTTGTTTGGGGGTTTGGATTTTGGATTGGGATTTGAATAGTAAAAATTTTGAATTTGAATAGTTGTATGATGTGATATAAATAGGGTTTGATGTGATGTTTTGAATGTAAAATTGATTTTTAGTATAATATAAAAAATGAAAAATAGGTGTTTGATTTGATATTTTTGGGGGGAAAAAATTGGATGAATAGTGGAAATCCTTCAAAATCCTTCAAACAAATACACCCATATATGTACTCCCGCCCCTCCGTCCCTTAATAATCTATCTATTTTTTTATTTTGGTATGTTTCATAACAAAGTATTTTTTCTTTTTTTTTTAGTAATTGTACCATTTACCTAACATTACAAATACCCTTCAAATTTACAATATATTACACAAATATCATTACATTTATATTATAAAATACTAATAGGATTAATTTAATTTTTTTACCTTTATTTTTACTTTATTTAAATATAATACTAATATTTCTGAAACTCCCGTGCAAATAACAAATAAATATATAAATATGAGATATATATATATATAAATTATATGTGGAATATATTACTTTAGCATAGTGGTACTATAATATACATTATACAATACAAAATATAAAATATATATATTAGTGTTGCAATAATAATGTCCTTGTGGACAAACTTTTAAGAGACGTTGATTGGTCGGAGAATTTTTCTGCTTTTTGCAATTTTTTTATCTTTATTTTTTTTATGGTTTTGTGATTTTTATTTATTTATTTTTTATTTTTTTAAATACATAAATATGTTGCTGACAACTCAATAGGAATAGGAAGATGAAAATATCACTAAAATTCTGTGTTGATTCGGCCAAGTCAGTAGTATAATATTGATTTAATCGAGTCAGCATATGTTACATGAGTAATTATCATATATTTATATATATTTCATTATATGTTGTGTTATAATATAGCATATGCTGAATTATAATACAATATATGTTGTATTATAAATATGTTGAAATATGTATAAATATATATTGGTCACCTCTATAGCATATAATGATTCGATCACTTGACCGGATCAGCGGCTGATCAATGCCCTAAAAAAATATATATATATATATACATATGAACAAATATGAATTATGTGTTGATTTAAATATATACTCCCTCCGTCCAGCTAGAAAGTATACATGTTTCTATTTTGGGACGTCCAATTACAAAGTAAACATTTCATTAAATACCTTACTTTTTTCCACAAATACCTCTACTTTACATCACATCATTACTTTTACACCAAAAAGCAAAGGCAAAAATGTCATTACACTACTTTTTAACTACCCACTATAATTAAAATACTATTATTTCTTAAACACCGCGCCAAAAGTAATTGTATACTTTTTTTGTGGACGGAGGGAGTATTACTTTTTTACATCGTTCAAATCTATATTTACTTTTCTTGTAAGATTGTTATACCAAATATTCAGTTTGTTTACATAGTATTTTTCAATTAAACAATTTCTCATATATATATATAGTATTAGAAAAAATACAAATATATATATATACATTAATATAATATATATTACCCATTTATAAAAAAAGTCAAATATTCAACACATGATATTAACTTTTTATATTACAAACCCAGTTTCCAATACTATACAATATAATTTTTTTAATACTTTCTCCATCCTATTTGAAGGGTGATATTTGTTTTTTGCACGTAAATTTTTTAATATTATTATATTGGATTGTAGTAAAAAAATAAAAATATCCCTATTAGTATGATGTAATATAAAAGTAATGATATTTGTGTAATATATTGTAAGTTGAAAGGGTGTTTATTATGTTAGGTAGGTAGTACAATTACTAAATTAGAAAATGATAACCTTATTTTCGAACAGACGAAAATAAAAAATAGTAACAATGGAAGGTGTATCTAATTTTTATTTAAATAAAAGTGCATATACATATCAATTTTTCTATAGTTAAAGTGGGCAAATCTAAAAATGATAATTTAAACCGAATCGTAATCTATTATTCTAGGAGGCCTAGCCCCGCAACTTTTTAAATTGGAGTTCACCAAGGGTGTGTTTGTTTGGGCGCTGGATTAAATTTATATTATTTATTTAATTTTTTTTTCTCAAAAATATTAAATCAAATACCTATTTTTTTTATTTTTTATATTATACTAAAAATTAATTTTACATTCAAAACATAACATTAACACTTATTTATATACAATTATTCAAATTCAAAATTTTTACTATTCAAATCTCAACTCAAAATCCAAACCCCCAAACAAACACAACCTAAAGAATAATGATTAATCATCGAGAATAAATGAATTCATTAGAAAATAAGAATTAATTATTTTTATAAATCATTGAATCATGTAAACTTACTTAAAATTCCTTTCTTTTTACTTTTTTAAAAATAAATATTTTTATCAATATTTAAGAATTCATATTTTTTTATAAAATTAATTTTATCTTAATTATAAATAAATAAAATTATATTTTATTTTACATACTTTAAAATATTTAAATAAATATTCTATTTTTTTAATTATATATATTAAATTTGTTTTAAAATATTAATATTATTAATTATATAAAAAGTAATAACATAATAATATAATTCACTATTATTATTAATTAATTAAATATTAATTTTTTGAATATGGTATGCCAGATGAAAATAGTCAATTATCTTTACTTAATAATAGTATATATATTATGTATTTTCTTTTGGCCTTTTTATATATATATATATTTTTATGTTTTTAATTTTAACTGATTCAAAATACATTTTTAAAAAAAAAAAAAAGGAGAGTTAAAAGTTATTTTCAGAAGCAGTTTAAACGAAACTTAAGAAATAAGGTGAAGTGATGAAATCCTACAATTCCCATAAACCCAAATTCATCAACGGCCTAACCCTAATTTTAATTGGGCTGAGCTCTGGTTTGGAGTTTGAGTTTCCTGTTCCAATTTCACCTGATTTTCAGGGCCTGAATTACTATCTCCCGCCATTGTTGTGGGCTCTGAAGCTTAATCATAGACTTTTCCACTGTCGAAGAAGCTTGTACTGGGTCGTCGTCTGCAAGGGACCCATCGCTTAGCGCCGTGGCTAACTTGCACCTTCGAAGCAATCTTAACGTTTCTCAGTCAGACGTATTCGGGATTTGACTTCGGCGGCCATAGATAGCATAAAACTTCTTCAATTTTCGCCTTGTTCATATTGCGTGACGACTTCTCCCACAAGCTCTGTTTTATTTGGTTCCTCCAGGGTTTTGAAGAAGAAGAAGAACGAGACCTTCCTCGTCCATTCGTCGTCGAATTTCGTGTTGTTGCTTCGAAGATTCTGTGTCGAGAATTCTTATTTTTATTATTGTTATTCGGATTGGAAACATCCGAATTGCTACTCGAATTCTTTGGTTTGTTTAATTGATCTTCAGCTGCGTTGCCTTCCTCCGTCTCTGCAATTAATCATCTCAGGTCAGCTTCGGAATTTTCCGATGTTTGATTTCATTTATTTATGAGTTAAACCACTGTCCGTTCGATTGTTCTGAATTCGTGTTGTGAGAATCAAAATGGATCAACAATCCTTTTCTATGATCAATTCATGAAATTCTGTTTCGCCTTAGCTATAATTGCTCTACTGTTGTGTAGCATGAATTTGATCTGCACTTTGAGCTATCGAAGTTTTGATTCTTCTTATTGTGTTAGGGATTGAATTCTCAGAATCTTCCAACTGCAAATGTTGAAAAACAAAACGTGAATCGAGGTTTTATTTCGACATCTTTCTGATTGTATCTCAATTTGCTCATTCTTCCATGGCTTGTTCATGTTCAGGTTTTCATCGACAAAAATAGTAATCAAGCTTTAGTTAATGGGTTGGCTTAGCAAAATTTTCAAAGGTTTGAGGCACAAATCTGTGGAAGAACGATATGATTGGAGATCTGGAACCACTACAGATACCTCAGAGAATCATCCATCAACATCATGGGTAATAATTCTTTATAATCGATTATCTGATGTACCATTTGATCTTTGGAACACTTAGGCTTGTCCATTTAATAATTGTATGAAAATCTTATCCATGGTTGTATAATTGATTCAGAATTCGTCTAAGGAGTTCGAAGAAATAGACTGTGCTATAGCACTGTCTCTTTCGGAGGAAGACCTGAAAAAGAATGTCGTCATTGGTGAGCATTGCAGCAATCATCTTAGTAACCTTTTCAGGAATTTTGAATTAAATGCATACCTTATCTGCAATGGATTGATAATTTTTGGTAATGTTCATATGTGGATTGATCATGAATACATTGGTATCGATTCGTTTTGTGTAGATAGAGAACCACAACAGGTTGAAGACGACGAACGTCTTGCTAGGGCACTTCAGGAGAGCTTGATCATCGAGTCTCAGCCGGGACCCTCGTCTAACAATGGCTACAGTTTTGGGAATGGATATGGCTACAGCCATGGAAGCGATTACCTCTACCAACCCCTAAACATTCCATATCCCTCAAATTTCAGGTAATTCAGCTCTTGCGACTACAATTCCGATGTTTGTTACACAAACTTTACCATTGCTGTTTAAATTCATGTTGCTAGCTCGAGAATTACGTCCACACTTAATTTATAAAGTCTGATTTCTAATAGTATTGAGCAAGATGTTCTTTGGTTTTGATTCGAGTTATGTTCAATCTGTTTTGGCGGTAGGATTTGTGCTGGTTGTAACAGGGAGATCGGTCATGGAAGGTTTTTGAATTGTATGAGCGCCATCTGGCACCCGGAATGCTTTCGATGCCATGGCTGCAACCAACCAATATCTGATTATGAGGTGTAAAAAGATACTCGTCTCTGAATATCTGCCGTTTAATATTTCCTATTATTACGTCCTAAATTCTTCCCTGTTTTCTGGGGTCGTTTTTCTGTAGTTTTCTGTCTTTGGCGGCTATGCTTACCATAAAACTTGCTACAAGGAATCGCATCATCCGAAATGTGATGTCTGCAGGCAGTTTGTAAGTATTGTAACAGATTTCGTTCGTTTGAATCTTTCTAGAAAATCGTTTATTCAGTTGCCAATCATGAGAAGTCCATGCTTTTACACAAATCGATCCTTTTGACGTAATCTGTCGTTTATTTGTTCGTTTAAGGAAGTTTAAACAGTTGTTATATGTCCCGACAGATTCCCGTAAACAGAGCTGGTCTTATCGAATACAGAGCGCATCCATTTTGGTCCCAGAAGTACTGTCCGAGACACGATCAAGATGGAACTCCACGTTGCTGTAGCTGCGAGCGCATGGAGGTAAATTTTCAACCTTATTTTAGAACGTAATTCATTTTATCCGAACTGATTGTTCATACACGGCTTGTTTTAGTCGTGGGATACAAGATTTGCTCCTCTAAACGACGGTCGAAAACTCTGCTTGGAGTGCCTCGATTCGGCAATTATGGGAACCAAAGAGTGTCAGCCCCTCTTCAACGACATCCAGCGGTTTTTCGAAGTTTTGAACATGAAATTGATGCAGAAAGTACCATTGTTTTTGGTTGAGAAACATGCTCTGAACGAAGTCATGGGCGTCGAGCGACATGTAAGAAAATTGTCTACAAGAATTGAAATAATCGCAACACTTTTTTGCAGCTAATCATCGCTCTTACGTTTTCTGTCAATTTATTACCAGGGTCATCATCACACGCCCGAGACTCGTGGCGTTTGTCTCACCGAGGAGCGAAATGACAATACGGTACGGCTTCCAATCGATCATCCTACTTTTTACCATACACAAAGTTTCGATTTTTTGAAACTCTACTAGATTATATCTTGATGGTTCGCCAGATTCTGCCGCAGCAGCAGCAGCAGCAGCAACAATGGAGGATTGGCGCCGAGCCTTTCGCATTAGGACGCCACTGCGAAGTTACGGCGATCATCATTTTATTCGGTCTTCCAAGGTATGTACTTACACTCGCCATTTTTGCACATTTCATTCCCCCGATCGAACACAGATTTTCATCCCGTCGTTGTACTTCCGCCCAGATTGCTGACAGGAACGATACTCGCCCATGAAATGACGCATGCTTGGCTACGACTCAACGGTACCCCCCCCCACCCCCTCACTTTCTTACATTGCCCTCGATCTTTTTATAGAGCTATTGTTCGAGTTGAATCAGTCGATTATCACATTTTTCAAATTCGACTCGAGTTCTTATCAATCCAAATTAGGGGTGAGCATTGATTGGTTCAAACCGAAAAAATCGAAATTTTTTTCGGTTCAGACAGATCGGTTTGGTCTATTCGGTTATTTTGGTTCGTTCGGTCTAAAGCCGAATTTATAAATTTAAGTTTCGATGCGGTTATGATTTTCAATTTTCAAAAAAAAAAAAAACCGAATTTCAAATAAAATAAATTTTATATCTTATATATATTATAAATTTGATTTTTAAATATTTGATCCATTTGTAAGTTGTTGGAAACATGCAATTGGGGATGAATGAATGTGCATTGGTGATAGAAATTTACAAAGTTTTATGTGACACTAATGTTATTTTAATGTTTACTAAAGTAAGGGTATTATGATAAATTTATTAATACGGGATAAAGTGTTCTATTCGGGAAATTATTAAAAGTACACTAAAAAAGATACTAAGTTTACTATCTTATCAAGCCAGAATCTACTCGACTCATAATTTTTCGTTATTTTTTCACGATCGATCTTTTGCTAGTCGAGTTCACTTATATCAACTAAAAATTGTGTAACATTTTTATGATAGGCTACCGGGGACTGCGCGAAGACGTCGAAGAGGGAATGTGCCAAGTCATTGCCAGCATGTGGTTAGAATCCCAGATTCTGTTGTCTGAACACGACAGCAACGGGACAACCTCGTCATCTTCAATGCCGGAAAGATCCTCGTTCGAGAGATCACTCAGTAAGTTCTTCAAGCATCAGATGGCGACAGATTCGTCGCCGGTGTACGGAAATGGTTTCCGGGCAGGTCACCGGGCTGTCGTCAAGTTCGGATTGGACCGGACGTTGGATCATATCCGTCGGACTGGAAACTTTCCTTACTGAATCTCACTCAGGTTCCATTTTTTGAGACTTTTTTTTTAAATTTTATTTTATTTATAAGTATTTTTTTGAGATTGATTTCATGGGAGAACATGGCAAAAAGTATTATTCACGTATACTAAATTATCATTTTTATTTTTTATTTATCTTGTTGGTAAAATATATTTTATACGTTTGCAAACTTCGTTATTTTTGTCCTAAAGTGTTATTCATGTTGTCTCATGCAAAATGATACTTCTGCAAATGTATTGGATATATTTTTTCAACCCGATAAATAAAGAATAAAAGTAATAATTAAGCATAAGTGAAAAATATTTATTGCAATTTTTTTCCCTGATTTCATGGTATTCTTTGGTCTGCCTCTTGAGCTGTATATTTAGGCTCTCTCTCTATATATATGCCTATTTTTATGAAGTTTCTCCAGTAGAAATACTTTATACAGTAATATATATGTACATATATTATATTTTTATAGCAGTTTTTGGACCTGCTTGTATATATACAATATTTACAGTGAGATTATTGGAATTCTTTGATTGTGGTGTGGTGTACTGGGTGCTCACGTCATTTGCTACACATGGTTTGCCTAGTGTGACTTGTCTATCGGATTTGGATTACATAGTATTAGGTTCGGCCGATAAATTACTTAGTGCGCACCTTTGGATAGCTACTGATTTCCACGTCATTAAAAAAAAAAAAAAAAAGAAAAAAGCACCATACATGTTTCATTTTATCGTACCATTTATGGTGTTAATTGGGATTAACCAATACTATATTGAATAACTCTAATTAACACATTATAACATTTGTTGGGTATGATTAGTTATATATTATGGTGTGTTAAACACATGTGTTGAAATCAACGGTAACATGCAGTGACATAATTAGAATCCGATCAACTAAAAGGTTAATTTTTCGAAAATTTGAAATAATATTCCTTCGGTCCCTTTTTGAAAAGAGTCTTTTGAGATTTTGTAGTAATTAAAAATATATATATTATTGTTTATTGGAAGTGTGTAAGAGATTTTGATATTTTTATTGTTAACTTCCTGTATAAAGTAATTATACGTGTAATAGTATGTTCGTAATTTAAATAAAAATTAAGGGTATTTAGGTACTAGTGTATGATTATCATTACTAAAAAAATAAAGTGGTATTTTTGAGTATTTTTGAATAAGACGAACGAAAATAATAAAATTGGTACTTTAAATTAGGATGGAGGAAGTACAATTTATTTATACATATAAATGATATAGTATTTTTTTAAAAAAACCAAATATATTCCTCGAGTTGCTATATTATAAAAATCAGGCTGCATAAAACATGATTGTTGTTAAAACACAATATACATAATACTCCCTCCGTCCAAAAGTAAGTTGTTAAAAGAAAATAACAAAAATACTTTTATTGATGTCTTATAAAAAATACTAATACAATGACATTTATATAAAAAATTATACAAATATATAAATATTTTTAATATTAAAAATAATGACCTCATATATATAAATAAAAAATTTACTTACAGACGACGAGAGGAAATATGTCCTTAAAGTTATTAATAAATAACAAACTATAACAATGGAAACTATATACACATTTATTTTTGTATTGTTTGACACAGACAAATAATACTTTTTCTTTTGAGAAGACATTTTTACCTAAAAAAGAAAAAAATCATTAAGATTGTCTAACTCTCACAATCAAGAGTTTGTTTGGATTTTATATTATGTTAACAATTTATATGCTACAGATTACTCTTTTTGGCCCGAATGTTATATTATAATTTTTATTTTTGTTTGTCCTATATTTTATTTTATTTTTTTTAAAAAAAAATTATATATTTTAATTAAATTAATTAATTCTTTTAATATATTTAATTTTACTTAAATTTGTATATCTATACTAACTAGTAACTATAGACTATTATATTTCCGCTGTCTAAAAATATCTTTATATTTTGTATAATTTTTTACATAAATATCATTATAATAATATTATAAATCACGAATACAAATATTTTTGTCATTTTTTTTTTAAATTTGTATTATATTTTTATATAATAATTACATATTATGTAAGCATTATATATACGACATTTTCATAACTCATAAAAGCATTATATAACCGCTGCCGGACTGCCCATACATGACAACCAAAGTCCTCCAGAACCCGAACTCCCTAACATAGTCCCGGACCCCAACTCCCAGAAATTAGAGAAAGAAAATTTTGGAATAAGCGGAAGCCCTTCCTTCGTCGTCTTCTCGGCACGACAAAAACAATTTAATTATAATTCAGATGAGACAATAAATAATTATTAATCACATTAATTAATTAATTAATTAATTACTTAAGAGTTTCGATAATTATTTACAATCCCAAAATGAATCAATTAATTATATTCAAGACATCATTTTGTAGAATTCATTAAAATCCAAAACCCCATTCCCATCAAGATCGAAAACCCTAATCATGGCTTCACATTCCTTCACCGATTTCACCTCCCCAAGCCGCCGGAAAACCCGCCGGAGCCCCTCCGCCGTTATGCACCCGCTTCCCTTCTCCACCTCGTACACCTCGAAAGCCCGCCGGAGCACCGCCGCGTCGTCCTCCGTCTCCCTCAGCTCCACCACTCGGACGAATTCCTCAAACCCTAACTCACCTGATCCCTCAATTTCTCCGCCGCCAGAGAACTCTCCGATGATCCTCTCCGCCTCCTCGCGCGAGACGGATTCGCCGACGGAGGCGAAGAACGCCGCCAGCTCGTCGGCGGAGATCTTTCCGTCGCCGTTGGCGTCCAGGAAGCGGAAAACCTGCCGGAATTCGCCTGTTTTGGAGGATACAGCTTCGCCGGCGGCGGCGTGGTCCGCCGCAGCCGCGGCGGTGCCTCTCTTCGACCGGCGCCGGCCGAGGAGACGCAGCTTGGAAAGCCCGCCGCTGAATGGCTTGACAATGCTCTCAATTGCCATTGATCGAAGGAATTAATTAAAATGCCGATCGAAGAAGACAAGGGTATATATATACATACATATATATATGTAAAGGGGTTTAGGGTTGGTTTGTTTGTGTTTTTGTATGTTTCTGTTTATTTTTGTCACTGTAAAAATTTAAATTAAAATTAATATATTTAATGTGATATAAATAATACTTGATGTTTGGAATGAAAATAAATATTACTCCTTCCGTCCTAGATATAGTGTTTGCTACACTATAGACACTATAGGCACAGTATTTTAGGAGGGGTGTAATTAGTAAATAATTAAAAATGTATTAGTGAAAATAATTATTCTATAATATAAATAATTATAAATTAAAATTAAGATAACTAATTAGTTTAATTAAAATTAAAAAAAATTAAAAATTTTAAAATAAGATTAAAGTGTAATCATTTTTAAAAAATAAAAATGACATGGTACGTGGGACGGACAGAAATGGCAACATGGACGGATGGAGTATTATAAGGGTGTGTTTGTTTGTGGTTTTGGGTTTGGATTTTTTAATGGTAAAAAGTTGAATTTGAATAGTTGTTTGATTTGATATAAATAAATATTGATGTGATATTTTGAATGTAAAATAAATTTATAGTATAATATAAAAAAAATTGATTATTTAATATTATATTTTTGAAAGAAAAGAAAAATCCGGATAATAAAAATCTATATTAAAACCAACAAAACAACATAACCTAAAAGAAAGTGAATAAAAGGGTATTTTTTTACTGAAAAATAAAACGACACTAAATTTAAACAATAATTTTTTTATATAAAAAAAAAGAATAAGAATAAATTTTAATAATATAAAAATAATAAATAAAAATATGTGTTGTAATCTTTAAAATAAAGTTTAGAGTTTATATACTCCTTCTGTCCTATAATATTATATTGGGATATAAATAGGAATAAAGTTGAAATTACTAAAATGATCTTATTAGTATTGTGAGATATAAAGATAATAGTATTTGTGTAATATATTGAAAATTGAAAGGATATTTGTATAATATATTGGAAATTGTAAAGATATTTGTAATATTAGGTAAATAACACATTTACTATAAAAAAAATAAAAAAATAGATATTTTGTTACGAAACAGACCAAAATAAAAAAATAAATACTTTATTGTGGGACGAAGAAAGTATATTGTGAAAATAATTTATTTCAATTCTCAAATATTAATTTCCAAACAAAAGTCTAAAATACGAACCGCCATAGCGAAGTTGCTTGGCAACTTCTTGGCGGATTTTAATTAATTCCCTAAAGAAATTATTTAGAGACGAATTTTCCAAGAAAGTTCGAGAAGGTATTTTAGGAAACTGAATAATTAAATTACATAGCAATTGCATGAATCGGGAGAAGACTTGCTCCAAATATCAATTTATTTATTTATTTAATATTATATATATAACATTATATTTAATATTTATTTATATTTTATTAAATAATTATTTTTATTATTTTCAAAACCTTGAATTGGACTTGATTAACAATTATTTACAAAATATTCCTCTTAGAAAATATGAGATAAAACATTTAGGCTGTGTTTGGTTATGATTTTCAAACAAATTTTATTACTAATTCAATATATACGGTTTCTAATAAAAATAAACTATTTACATTTATAAAATATTAAATCAAAATTCAAATAAAAACTCAAACTTACGGAAAAACCAAACAAACCCCTAGAATTTGTTTGATTTTGATTGAAATTGAGTATTTAATTTGAATTTTTGTTTAAATTGAATTGTAACATGATATTTTATAAAGAAAACACCTTATCTATCTCACCTAAATTGTCATTTTTACCGTAGATACGAGAATAAAATATTATAATTAGCAAATAATTAAAAAATATATCAATAAAAATAGTTACTATATAATATAAATAATTATAAATTAATATTAGGATAACTAATTAATTTAATTAAAATTAAAAAAATTATAAAGTATAAAAGTTAAATGCCGTTTAAGTGTGATTTTTTTTCAAAAAAAAAGGATAAATTATATGAAACAAACGAAAATTAAAATATGAACAATTTATGTGAGATAAAGATAATAATATATTTTTATTAATAGTCGTACGTACCGAATAATATTTATTTGTGTACTAAATAAAGAACAAACAAATTTATGTTACATCAAAATAAATATTTAATTTTATTCAAAATATCATATTAAGTCCGTCCCAAACACCGTGCAACATTTTATTTTTTGTATGTCTCAAACACCTTGCAATATTTCTAAATTAGTAAATAATTAATTATATTTAATCTATATCTCCACGCTTTATCTCATCGCATCACCCTAATAAAAAAATAAAATATACATTTCTATCTCAATCACATCACCTAATTATTCAATTATCTCACTTAATACACTAATTAATTGGGTAAATTTATGTAATTTTACTTTTTATTTTATTTTAATTATTTTTTTTGAACCTAATACAATAAAAATATGATAAAATAAAAATAAATGTCTAATGTGATATTTTGATGAATTTTGGATAAAAGTATAAATAGAATAAAAGTTTAGATAAATAAATGCATTTTTAAGTCATGAAAATTTATATTGATAATATAAAAAATAATATTTTGTATTGAATTGTTAATTTTTTATAAATGAATATATACAGTGTAAAATTATATATATATATATTGTATTTTACTACCTATGTCTCTTAAATAGTATTTATTTACTTTTTGTATGTTAAATTTTGAATATTAATGTTATATTCATATGCAAGTAGAAATAAAGAAAAAAAAGTAAAAATATTTTTATTAGTGTTGTATAATATAAATTTAATAATATTTGTCTAAAATATTATATAAATAAATATATTTTTAATATTATATACAATATACAAAAATCAAATGAATAACAAGGTCTCCATTTACTGTTTACGTCATTATATTTAACATTAAAAATATTTTTATATTTATATAATTTTTTGTACAAATATCGTTATATTAGTATTATAAAACACTAATAGAAGTATTTTTGTTATTTTCCTTGGATTTATAATATGTTTTGATGTAATAATTAATATTTAAAGATCAACATACAAAAAATAAATTGATACTTAATTACACGAGTGTGTTCTTTTAGTCAAAATTAAAATATATTTTTTTCATAAAAGAATAATTAATTATACATATTTATTATTTTTATATTACTTACACAATTTTTTATATCTAAAAAAAACATTTTATCAAACTATTTAAATATATATATATATATACCCATACTTATATTATTTCTTTTAATAAAAATAGTATATAATGTTAGATTGTTTTTAATACCGGAAATTGAAAGGAAAGGCCGATGGTGATGGGAATGGCATCTCATCTCCGAACGAGGTGCTGCCGGAGAATCACGTGACACTGGGATTGTGTTCTTTTAAAAGACTTCAAAAATTTTACTATTTATTATTAATTTTTATCTAAAAAAAATATCAAATTAAATATTTACTTTTTATTTTTTTTTATTATACTATTTTTATTTTTATTTTGAAATTTTTACCAATAAATAGAGAAAAAAAAATATATAAAATTTTTCAGATACAAATGAGAATGATGAGACTCGAACTCGAGACCTAGTCAGGCTTTTTGATATGGTATTTAAGTGTATCATACCGCACAAATGGGAACGATGAGACTCGAACTCAAGACCTCACCAAGCTTTGATATGGTATTTAAGCGTATCATACTGATAATTTGCAATTATATTGAATACCAAAATATAAAAATAATTACAATATTTTCAACATATACCAAAAATATCAATTTATATATTGTTGTAGTACCAAAAAGGTTTTGTACTGAAAAAAATTGTATTTTCAATATTTTTTGGCACAATAATTCGATATTTGATTCTTTTTTTCACCCCTACCTTAGCTAGCAATACAAAATTTTACAATATTAAGACAAATTTTCTTTCAACAAAATATTATATTCAAAAACTTACTTCCTCCCTCACATAACAAATTATCTATATTTTCATTTTAGTATATATTACACAAATGTCATTACCTTTATATCACACAATACTAATAAAGTTATTTTAATCATTTTTACTTTATTCCTACTATATCTCAATATAATACTAATATTTGTAAAATTCCGTAAAAAAACAGACGGATACACAGTTATGGTACAAATTGAGTATTTTAAATTTAAAATATTATATAAAACATATGAATTTGTTTAGTTTGGATTTAAAACTTAATTTTTTATTTGTCTTTTAATTTATATAATAATTAAAATGATATTTTATAATAATAATAATAATAATAATAATAATAAAATAGTATACTTTTATTAGAAATTGTAGAAGCTTAATTATATGTTTTGAGTTTAAAATAAACGCACCCTATATTCATACCACGTTAAATACATTTTTTTATTTTAACCAACCCAAAACTCCAAAAAACTTCCAAACGAAAAAATCTAAACACAACTATGTAGGGTGGGTTCATTTTGTAGTTTTGATAATCATATAATTTTTTTTTTTTAATGTTAGACTCTATTTTCATTGAAATTCTGGAGTTAAGCCAAGAAATTTTGAGAATAATAAAAAGTTAGAAATATCTAACTTAATATTCTGCGCTTTATAAAACTTTCAATAAACTTTTCTATATTTTCTCCCGAAATTTTTTTTTCAAGAAAAAGGCAATGCTGACATTTTGTGTGCTCCGACAGAAATTTTTTCAAAGAAAATGTGAGGTCTTTGAAAAAAATTCTGCCGGGGCGCGCAAACATGACGCACGAAAGGGGAAGTCACCTATTCCTCGAAAAAAAAAAAAAAAAAATTCCGCAGGAGCGCACAAACAAGAAACAAGAAAAGGGAGGTCCCGATTCTTGTTGTCATGATTTTGTTATGGAAAAGTTTCTTGATCCTTCGTTCTTTCTATTTCACGACTAAGTTCCAATGAAGTTGCGACTCCTAAGGCAAACGGGCATTATATTTGCGCGCACAAGCGCATCCAACAATGCATCGCATTGAAAGAAACCAAAACAGCAGCACATAAATTTATTAGCCAAACGCCATAAAAGATAATCTAAAACACATACGTCCGCAAATGACCAAAAACCACATTACCATAAGAAATGCGAGCAGAAGGAAGATTACCTGAGCTCTAGAAAATGTACAAACACGATCTCAGAAATCCATAGCAACTTCGAGCACCGATCACCATCCACATCAGAATCCAATTCAACTCCAAATCAGAGCCATAAGAACACTGAAACCGATCACCAACAACAGCAACTTCAAAGTCGAATCCGCCTGCTGCTGTTGTTGATTCCCACGATGAGGAACTCCCGAAGCGTGCCCTCCATGGAACGCATTCGAATATCCATACGCAAAACCTGGCCCCGGACCGTACAAGTTGGCATTATGCAATCCATGGACTTGAATGTTAAAAAATGACGGAATCAGACCACCAAGCGCCGCAGACAGCGTAAAATTCCCAAATCTAGCAGTAGCCATAGGCGCAAAACCTCCGAAATGTCCAAATCCGCCCATAAATCCGTATCCTTGCTGCGCAAACGCATTGGCATTCGCGCTAGGATCGGGGGGAGGCGCAGTCTCGGGCCTCTGTCCGCTAGGACGCTGCGGAATCTCGACACCGGGAATTGATTTTGAGCGAGGATCAGTCGAAGTCTTTCCCCGGCCATATAAAGGGACTAACTTATCCTCCTCGATAAGAGCCTTACAGACAGGACATTCCTGGGATTGAGAATGAATATGAAGCCATTTGTAGAGGCAAGGCCAGCAGAATAAATGGCCACAACGAGTGACGATCGGATCTTGAGCCAAATCGAAGCAAATGTTACACTCGAAATTTCCAGCATCGCTGCCATTGTTGTTGCTACTGCTTGTGCAAGAGGGGCTTGGGGGCTGCCTAAACGACGATTCCCCAAACCCGCCATCCATCCTTCAATGTATAAACACCAAATTACCTATCAGCGAGTTGTAAAATGGCAATTAAAAACACAACCAAACACGATAAACAATCAAGAACTATTGAATGAATTGATAATCAAATCGAAGCTATGCCACTTTCAATCTCAAAACACCAATCGTCAAGTTGTAAACTGGTAATTAAAACACAAGAATCCAAAGAAACAATCAAGAACTATTAAATTATTTGATAATCAAATTGAAACTATGCCACTTTCAATCTCAAAACACCGAATTACCTAGCGTCAAGCTGTAAACTGGTAATAAAAACACAACCAAACACGATAATTAGATGAAACAATCAAGAACTATTGAATTAATTGATAATCAAATCCAAGCTATGCCACTTTCAATCTAAAAAAACCAAATTACCTATCATCGAGTTGTTAAATGGTAATTGAAAACACAACCAAACACGATAATTCGATGAAACAATCAAGAACTATTAAATTAATTGATAATCAAATCTAAGCAATGCCACTTTCAATCTCAAAACACCAATTACCTATCATCGAGTTGTAAAACGTTAATTAAAACGAAACAAAACACAAGAATTCAAAGAAACAATCAAGAACTATCAAATTATTTGATAATCGAATCTAAGCTATTCCACTTTCAATCTCAAAACACCAAATTACTTATCATCGAGTTGTAAACTGGTAATTAAAACACAACCAAACACAATAATTTGATGAAACAATCAAGAACTATTACATCAATTGATAATCAAATCTAAGCTATGGCACCCACAGTAAATCCCACTATCCATCTTTCAATCTCAAAACCCCAAATTACCCATCAATTTGTAAACTGGTAATTAAAACGCAAACAAACACAATAATTCGAAGAAACAATCAAGAACAGTTCCATCAATTGATAATCAAATCTAAGTTATGGTACCCACAGTAAATCCAAATCAAACCAAGCGTAAAACTCAACCAAAACAATTATCCGACGGGTTACATCGTCGATTTTGCGGAAATAAAATTCCAAATACTCTAATATTGAATCCACATATCCCAAATTTGCAGATAATTACCAATCCAGCTCCGAATTACACAGCACTGTGATTTTTGACAAATTTTCCCAAACTTTTCAACAATCAAACCCTCAAAGAAGAAACATTGCGTGATTAAAATCTTTAACAAACGATTAAGATGACCTAACCCAAATTTCACAGCAAGAAAAAGAAAAACCCTAGAAATACACGATTAAGAGTGGTAACAAGATTGACCTTCGGGTCGAAGAGAACCACTGGATCGAAGATCGAACCAGGTCGGTACGAGCACGAGAATCCAATTCTAACCGGAACGAGAAGGAAGAGGGGAAACCGACGCGAAATTTCTAGAGATTCGATGCAAGCCACGTGGCGAAATCTTATTGGGTGCTCGGTAGCATTGGCAGTTACTCGCTATTAAGGCATTGTTTGGTTGGCAATTAAAGTTAAGTGTCAAACACTTCAACTTTTTCCTATTGCATTCTCAGGCGGTGTAAGGTATATCTAATTATATAATAAATTTATTAATAATATGTAATTGTTGAATAATACAAAAACATATTTAGATATTATTTAATATAATTTTAAGTTTGTGTAGTAATTATTATTCAATTTCGTTTATATTCTATTTTGTTTAATTTCTTCTCGTGTACAATTGATCATTTTCATGTTTTGTTTATGATAATCCAATGAAGATAAATACGTTGAAAATTGTACAAAATTTAAAATTTAAAAATAAAAAGATATAAAATTATATATCAAGATAATATAAATAATTATAGAAATATATCATATTAATTTTTAAAGTTATTTATTTAACAGAGTTCGGGATGAGTTTTTGAATAAATTCATAACTCGCCCCGGATCCGATCGAATTTAAATTCTTTAAACTCATAATATGCCACGAACATTAAATTTCAAATTCTAACCCGCTTCATTAGCTCCGGAGTCGAGGCCAAAATCCGTCCCAATTGTCATCCCTACGAAATATTGTCATGACTTTTTAAAATACAATTTTTTAGTTCTATGACAATGCAATAATACTGTTTGTATATCTATTTGATTGATTATACAAGTGTGTTTCTTTTCGGTTTTTAGGTGATCTTTTACTATTTTATTTTTTTGCATAAATTATCAAGTTAAATATTATTTAAATAACAAAATTCAAACTTAAAAAAAAAAAAAACACATTTAAAATTTAATAGTGTGTTTGTTTGGGAGTTTGGATTTTGGATTGAGATTTGAATAGTAAAAAATTTGAATTTGAATAGTTGTATGATGTGATATAAATATGTATTGATGTGATGTTTTGAATGTAAAATTGATTTTTAGTATAATATAAAAAATAAAAAATAGGTGTTTGATTTGATATTTTTTGGGGGAAAAATTTGTGTGAATAATAAAAATTCACACAATTCTTTCAAACAAACACTGGATTGTAATGAAATATGTTGGTTTAATAAGGTAAGTCAATTACCATCGATCAATCTTGAATATCTCTTATAGCTTCTATCATATACATGTATACATATATCTTGGACAATTGTTTTATGTAAGCTATTTTAAAATATGCTTTATTGTTTTTAAAATCTTTTGTATATAAAGATGACACAACTATATGAAATAAACATACATAAAACTACAAAATAGAATTTTTCTTCTATTTCTCTTCTTTATATTTTTGCCCCAAGACCATATTTATTCCGATCTATATTCATGGCATTTGGAACTCTAGTCGATACTAATGGCTTAGCTATAATAAAATAGTACTCCCTCCGTCCCAAACATCCTGCAATATTTCCTTTTTGTTTGTCCCAAACTCACTGCAACATTTTCAAATTTAGAAATAATTAATAATATTTTTATACATATATTAATATACACTTCACTTTATCCCATCAAATCACTCAAAAAAAAAAAAAAAAACAAATAATTATTTCTCTCTTCAATCACATCACTTAATATCCAAATCATCTCAAATTACCGTACTTAATACTCCCCACCTAAATTCCTGTGCCAAACACAAATGTTGTACGATGTTTGGGACGGACGGAGTATAATTTATATTCTATTTGCAAACATCTTTATTTATGCGAAAATACAGTCATCTTCTAGACTTGTACAAAAAGTGGTCAACAAATTCGTATACTATCCAAAGTTCTGATACTTAATAGTGAAAAACAACAATCGATTGTGTTTCTATCATCTATACTACTAAAGTGACTAAACAATTTTAGCTAAATTCATAAATTTTAGAATGTTTTCATACCCATAGAAAATAATGATTTTTTTTATTAAAAAAAACAAATAAAGCCACTCAAAAAAATATTGGAGTATGATACTTTGATTGAACTAGATGTTCTTATTAGAGCTTAAATTATTACTTCCATATCACTTGAAATACAAGGGCCTTTATTTTCATACCAAGAATCAGAGTCCTACGGGAAGTCTAAAAAAAGAAATTTGATCAATCTAATAAATCATTGATTTATCAACTCAAAATTTTTATTAGCTCATCAAGACACGGAGATGATCAAACTAACATTGTTGTAAAGTTGTGTTAAGAAGTAATTTGAAACTCAATCTCAAAATCAATTGGTGATAAAAGTAGTTTTTTTTTCACCACTATAAATAATGAAAGTTCCCATATCTTTTCAATGTGAAATACATCTAATAAGTTGCATGGAAAAAAAATGACTCACCATTGATCCTTCCTCTGAATGCACTGGGAGAGAAGATGATGAAGAAACAAGTGAAAATTATACTAATTTAATTCATTTAATGATGAAAATTATGAAGCAATAAGAGGAAAAATATTAACAATGGATCATCTACCCAGTATTTGCACGACCTATTCAATGATCAATTGACTGAAAAAAATATGAAAAGATTCACATTGTTGCAAATCACTGTACATTGGTGGTGATTAATAAGAAATTGCAAAATAAATTATACATTTATATAAAGAAATTGTAAGTTGAGAAAAAGAATCGAGCGTAAAGAGATAATATATTCAAACTTTATGAGGAATTTTTTAAATGATATTTGGATATAAATAAAATGCGGTGAAAAGGTGCAAAAAGTCTCGTAAAATAAAGCTCCAAAGTCTTCGTACAAATAGATAAGAAATTAAATGGTTTGTCTGATTGTATTTGAAATTGATTTGAAATAGGGTGTTAATTAAAGTTTTAATTTAAATAGTATCTTAATAAAATATTTTGTGAGAAAAAATAATTTATTTTATTGAAATTGTGCAAAATAAATAATAATTGTTTTTATTTGAAATAAAAAATAAACAAACAAACAAAAAAACACACCCGCCATAGTTAATCGATAGTTGTGATACTTGCTATATATGTACTAATAATAAATTATTTCATAATCTTGATCATATTTATGATAAACAAAAAAATATATCTCCTAAAGTACATTATTTTACTACCTCTCATGTATGATCAACCATGATAAATTACTATATTGATATGAGTGTATAAAAATAAATATTGAGTATTATTTGTAAAATTATATAAAATGAAATATACAAATAATGGTGGAAACAACACCAAACAAATGTTAATTAAAGTAAACTACTCCAAAAAAAATAATTCACTCTAAAAATATTTATCAACTTTAGTCATAATAATAATAATAATAAATAAATAAATTATCAATTTTAGTATACAATTATAATTAATTTTGGCTTGATTGTTGAATAATAACATTCTAGCCAAAAAAACAAGGTCGTGTTCGAAATTTAAACAACCGGATAATCTACCGGAAAGAGCCATTTTCAAAAGTCTCAAATCGGTTTTGGAAGCTTCCGCGAAGCACCAATGGCTAGGAAACCAACATTATGAGCAATCCGAGGGCAAGGAAGAGCGTCGAGATCAGCCATGGGAAAATGTAAAATTAAACACTTTTGATTTAAATGTTGAAAATCACATCCAATTCCCAGTAAATCGATCTTTACTCTCCTTGTCGTCTCGGACTGCGCCTGTGCCGAATCGCCAATCGGCTCCAATCGATCGGCCTCGTACGCACAGAATGTTGCAGATTGCTTCTTCACGAAAAAGGAATCAACAGTGGAGAGGTTCCACCAGTTAAAGCAGCAGCGAAACCTACGATCGGCGGATTGGAAAGCCCCTGGCCGGTAGCTATCATAGTAATATTGGTAACGTAATGAAGAAAAAATTTGGGCGAATTTTGCGAGGCAAGAAGGGGCTTACCTTAACTTGTAATTAAACAACTTCATGGATCGCAACAACTTGATGTTGTCCAAGAGCTTACTGTTCTCACCTTGCACGGAAAATTGTTTGATAGTGACTTGGATTCCTAATTCTTGTTACTCCCATCGTGGAGAATTAAGGATTCCGATCATGAGAAAAATGACAAGGCAGAAAGTGTTGGTAACTCTATAGATCATCATACTCATGGATAAATATAATAGTGTGAAAATCAAATTATATTTACTTTTAGATAAAAGTGTATAATAAAGTGAGAGTAAAATGGTAAATAAGTATAAAAAAACATTAGTAGTTAGTGATTGGATTTACCGTTACTAAAAAATATGTAAATCTCTGAATTTGACGGAAGAAAACAAAAATATATAGACATTAGAAGTTAACGACTGGAGTATTAAACAATAAAATATATATTTAATTTATAGTTAATTTTGCATACATTATTAATACTAATATTAAATGAAATATAAGATAACTTTGATAATATAGAACACAATACATATAATCTAAACAATATTTAAAACAACTCTTCGAACAATTTGGCATTAACAATCAGATCTTACTCTGTCAAATTATCTTTCTCCATTAGTGTTCGATAGAGTTTCATTTTGGCAAAATGTTTGTTGTTTTTTATTTTTTCTTCCTTCAGTTGTGTTATACGAGTGAATTGTGATACAACATTTTTACTTTGAGCTCTTAGCTCTTCAAAGCCATCGGAGAAAAATTACTTTGAAGATTTTTTCGGTGCTTGTGTTTGCCTTTATTTTTACACGTTTTCATATTGGAATGACGAATTGAGAGAGATTCTTCTACTTATCACTATGTGGCATAATTATATTTGAATTAGACTAGTATCTACCATGTTCATTAATTTTAGTTTTCTTTGGGTCAATTTCACTGTCATAAGATGTTTCATAAACAACATTTGTACCACGATGACTAGCACCTCATTTTGGCTTGAATTTTAATTCACGCCAAATGTGCTCATAAATAAATGATTCGCCACAATTTGTGAAATATATTTGATTTGTCTTAGTCAAAACATCATCAATAGATTCTCCATTCATTCTTTGTTGGTTAGTTTGTTCGAAGCACACGACAGATTTTAAAACAGCTTAATTTATCTTTTGTCAACGATTATTGCATTAGT